TCACGCAGTGCAAAATACCCGAGACCGATATTGTTCTGCAGGCTAGACGTGGCAGAGCGGGCGCTCGTTATCAGTCGGTCAACAGTCCCGTTATCGCCTCTTGCGAGTCGCGAATCACGAGAGAGAGAGAAAGAGAAGAGAGGAAGAAGCAAACGTATGTGTACGTATACATGTGCAACTTTTGTGTGCATATACATACACATCAAGCTGTACAATGCCGTGACAAAGCCTCGCATGGAAGCGTAGGCGCATCTGCCGCACGCGCGCGCGCGCGATACCAAGCAATGGGTTGGGCTCTCTCACTTTACGCTTCGTGCCCAAGCTACATTTCTCGCTTCGAACTCGTGCTCAAATTTTTCCGATGTTCGCGACTCGTTCGAGAGACTATAATACGAGCCCTATGTGTGCTGAATGCCTCGAAGCGTGTCACACATGGGGCTCGCAAATTGTGATCGCGCGTGTCAGAATGACTGACGCGAGAAGAAAAAAATGTTGCCAGTTAAGCGACATTTTTGCTGAAAAGACATAGCTATACGTAGCATGTCAACCCCGTTTATCAAATTTCTTAAAGAATTTCAACCTCTTTTCTGTTACACTTCGATGTATTGTTCATATTTTTACTTATATATCTTTCGCCGATATTTTACAGATGTAAATTAATTTGTGTATACTCTAATGCGCACTCACATATTTTTTAAGTATGCATTCTGCAATTACACACATTTCTCGTGCAAACTTAATAAATAATCGAAAAATACATGGAATGAATTTAGACGATAGTGTGCGTACTTCAAGGACGATATTATTCTTGCTGTTGGGGCGTTTTTGCAAAGAAAATTCCAGATACAGAGCGAGAAAACAAAAAAGTTGAAATTATATTTGAACGACAAATCGATGCTGCTTGTTTTTTTTTTGCTTTTCTTAAAAAAGCAATTCCATAGCGAGGCATACCTAATCGCATCGATGCTCATAATGTCTTAGCTCGACTCGAGTAAGACGTTCAAGCATGAGTGATGAGCATAGCCGCGGCTGCTTTTTGCTCTCATATATAGCAACGCATCGCATTCGCCGGGTGGCGTGCGCAATTTAAAACATTGCATACACTACTACTACTACGGCGCTCATTATTACATGCATCGTGAGAATATACGTTGGGCTTACGTACGAGACACGTGTAGGTCATTGAATGGCCGTCGTGCGCGAGGCATTGCAATGGCTTCCCCGACCAAATTTGCGTCACTGCTGCCTCGACAGCGTTCAGCTTGCTTTGCACGCCTCGTCGAGCCTGTATATATCTGCAAAATATACACGAGATACAAACGCAAATGTGCCTTAAAATTTATCTCTCCACTCAAAATCAGCAAATATTAGCTTAAGCACGTAGACGTGCACGTATGGTGGTTGACTTACTCGTGTCGCGCTCTGTAATAGCACATATACATGCGAGCATCGTGTCGCTCCAACTCGCTTGGCTTCGGCTTTCGCATAGTTATGCCAATTTCAGTCGTTTAATCGGAGGCTCTTAATAAGAATAGCTTTCACCATATGCCATAAGTCATGTACAGTCATGAGCGCGAGAGATGAGATGACGCATATATAATATACTCGGCAATACATGCAGTGTGATATTTGTCTACGGTACTCACATACTCGCATACCCATAAATAATAATAGACTTATGGCAATTGGACTCGCAGATAAGCACTCACCGTCTTGTCATTCTCATTCACAATTTTGTTCTCACTATTACGAACTTATCAAATGAGCCATCCGTATCTTTGTTTTAGCTTCCCATTTTCATTGTACCTTTATTCATATGCTAAGTTGCTAAAATAGTGGGTCACTCGTTGAAATCAATTGTAAACGCATTTTCGTTTTAAATACATTTCTACAAACTATTCACTCATCTATCTCAACCGATGCATATTTGTTGTTTTCTTCTTTGTCTCTTTTGTCGATAATTTTAGTTTTGGAAAATGTTCACTCGTATTATTATTATACGTACTCGATCATTCGCGAGAAATATTTTTCTCTTCTATGGTGTGAATTGAAAAACTAGCGTTGAATACTCTCAAGAAACACGTAGACAATTCATACATGACTGGAGGCACTATTGCACGCACGATCTTTGTTCTATTCTGCGCTCGAGTCTATACTTATATTCTTATACAATATTAAAAGTATTGAATTTTATACCTCACGTAGCGTGCACATTAAATGAAAACAAAAATTAACTCTTATGTAGTGGAGAAAAATGCCATTACATCAAACGATTGTTTTTCACTTCCCAATGTTAATTTGTTTACGTAAAAACAAGGTAATAATTAAAATTTTTTAAATGAGATTCCGAAGCTGATGACCTTTTTTTGATCCTGTCTCTCTCGTTGTAAACACGTGACTGTAGCGCATACGGTTTACGAATGCATATGTAGTGACGCAATTCGCGATAAGAGTCTTTATGAATTTCTCAAAGTACCTATTCGCTTGCTTTCCTACGGTGCTTTGTATTTTTAGAATATCGATGTTCTGTCCAATTTCTTGAATTTATGAATCATTTTATGTACTACCATGGAAAGAGCTTAAACATGAAATAATTTCTAGGTTTGATTTATCAACCCCTGTAAGTCTTCATTAAATATGAATTTTAGCCACATTATCATAACAAATTCACTTTATAAATTGAAACAAATTTATTTTGAAAAAATTTAGACAACAGTTAAGTGCTAAAATCTCAACGATTTTATTTTATTTTTATTTTTTCTCATCTCTTTTTAAATTCGATTCTACGAGGAGTACCCTTAGTTTGCGGCTAAAAACTTAGTCAAAATCCTGACCGGTTCTTACAAAAATTGATAATTAATTAAAACTCATCTCTATTTTTAGCATCAGATTTAAGCCGTAAAAATGTATACTGGAACTTTTGATTTTTTACGAGGGCTTTAAATTGCATGCGAGTACTGTGTATTAGAAATCCGCTGGCCGATTCTCCCGTCCTGCATTTGCGTCTGTGCACGCAGAGAGCGGCAGCGCACGGAGCACGTGGCCGCGTCCGCAGTAACGTTCTCTCAAACGCGCGGTGTGGTACACTCGATTCGAGATCGAAAATTATGATAAACTCACTGCACGCAGACATTCTCCTGCTGCTGAGCAATGCAAGGCTATCGTCGTATATACACAGCCAGCATGACGACACACATCATACGCTCGCGAGCGAGCAACGACTCTCGCAGCCAACGATTAAGAATCCGTGGATCCGTTATACGCTGCTGCTGCTACTTTTGCTTCTCTCGCGCGTACTTTACTGCATACGCATTTATGGAAATTTTGCAATGATTTAAGTAAGCAGTTTGGTTGGCTTATGAGCTCGCCAGCGCAGTTCCTTAGTCCAAAGTACTTATCGACTGCATCGTTCTAAAGCTTGCTCAGAATGCCAACTTCGGCTCTAGCTTCTGTGAAAAAATCTGCTGGATACAATAATCCAGCTCGTAGAGGAACGGTGCAAACTTCTTTCTTGCGGGCACTCGAAATATGCGGGCCGAACCGACTGTTGCCGTGCCGCGCCTTGCACGTATATTTTGCCGGATATATGTTGCCTGTAATTGCTGCGAATTGCCATTGTGCTCAGTGTGAGTACATTTAGTTCGGGAACCTGAATTGAATTATTTCGCCGGCGACAGGATTTATGCGTGACTATTGAAATTAAGCAATGCACGTGTTGCTCTATATGCAAATTGAAAATGGTACTTTTCTCATTCTTAGTTCACGGGAATGTAGACGATTGTTGTACGCAAACAAATAAACATGATAAAAGGCAGATACGTTTTCAAAGATTCTTAATCTAGCTACTAAAATGGGCTGTTTGATGATGATGTTATGTCGTCCTCGACATTAATTTACGTGATAAATAAGAGTAAAGCGAATTTTTTTTCCTGCTTTTTGCTTTCGATTCGTGATTTTTTTGTTCGTTTCATCTTAGCTAGTTCGAGCATTGCTGCACAAGAAAACTTGCCTCGCTGAAAGAGGCGAACCTTGACTTTCTCGCGATTGCGCAACAAGCTGATGCGATCGGAGCACGAGCTACACGTAACAGAAGAATAACAAGCTTGCAACAATTTCCCGATTGCAATTTTTTTACGTGAATTCGACAAGTATTCCTAGAACAATTGACTAAAAAATTGTTGTTACCGAGTTGACGCTCTATACTGCCCACGTTCATCTAAAGGAAAGAATAGCGACTGACTATTAATAGACAAAAGTGTATAATAAATTTAGTATCATGATTAAGCAAACCAAATAATTGTTCATAAAATGACTGCTACAAAACCATTGAAAAATTGAAGAGTCAGGCTTTCTCTTTTTCAATAATTTTTTTTATTGATATACGGTTGTTTTTAGCAAATTATCGATCTATTAATGCTTTTTTGCTACAGTGCATTAAATTGTTTTCAGTATTTATTGGTAGATGCAATTGATTACCCCTGACACTTTCAATAGCAGCTAAATTTACATTTTGGAATCTCTGCATAGTGTCGAAGTGCGCATCGATTTCACAATCCAATCGACGAACAGATCGATCGCAATGCCTAATCATTGTTCAGCAGGGGATCACTTCTCTTAGATACAGTCTCTCTTTTTTCTCTCTTTCTTTTTGTTCTGCATGCCTTTAGTGAAACGTAAAATAATGCTAATAGTCGTCTCGGCGACGGCAAAGTAGGTTAGACATTAATCCCTCGTGAAAGTTTCTATAACTGTGATCAACCATTGTACGTAAAATAATAACCAACAACAAAGTAAATATATTTGAATTTGCCAATTTTAGGTGAAAATACTCGCGCACTGAATTCCTCTCGTAAAGATAAAAGATGATTCGCAAATCGTTGAGGTGAACTGGCGTGACTTTGATTTCAAACTATCATTTTATTTCAACTTCAATTTTTACATTGGTATGAAAAAAATATTGTCGAAGCGGTTGTTATAATAAAGTTTCTTTCTCATTTCAGGCATCGACAATCGATGGCCGTAGGAAAGGTGCTTGTCTCTTTTGCCAAGAATATTTCATGGATCTGTATCTGTTAGCCGAGCTGAAGACGATCTCGTTGAAAGTGACAACTGTTGACATGCAAAAACCACCTCCGGATTTCCGTACCAATTTTCAGGCGACTCCACCACCCATACTCATTGACAACGGTGATGCGATCTTGGAGAATGAAAAAATCGAACGACACATCATGAAAAACATACCCGGTGGCCACAATTTGTTTGTTCAAGATAAGGATGTGGCTACGCTCGTGGAGAATCTCTTTAGCGTAAGTTCACTTAATAATCGATCTTGATCATGTGTACTTGTTTTATAATTATTTCATTTAAATTTTTTTACAATCCAACTTTTATAGCAAATATTCCATTTGTTGACACAAAATGATACATTTTTTAAAAATAATTTTTAATTTACCCCTGAAATGTACTAATCTCAAGAATAAATTTATTTGCGGTCACAGAAATTGAAGTTGCTATTGCTCAACGCAAAAGATAAGGATAAGGATGTAAAATCGTCGTCGCTGATGGCTCATTTACGCAAAATCGACGAACATTTGGGGCGCAAGGGTACGCGTTTCCTTACCGGCGATACGATGTGCTGTTTCGACTGCGAGCTAATGCCTCGCCTGCAGCACATCCGTGTGGCTGGCAAGTACTTTGCTGACTTTGACATACCAGAGAGTATGGTGAATCTGTGGAGATATATGCATCATATGTACAGGCTTGATGCTTTCCTTCAAAGTTGTCCAGCTGATCAAGACATTATCAATCATTACAAACTGCAGCAAGTAAGTTCTTAATTATACAGTTTAACGAATTTCAAATCGAATAATTTTTACCCTCGTGAAATGCTGAAGACCGTGTAAAAATACAAATTTTTGTAGAACATTTTTAATATTCTTGTTTTATAATTATTCATCATAACGATTACTTTTACTTAATCTTCGGTATTATCTCTATACTTGAAAAAATGACCACACTTACTTACTTATTGATATTGTCACCAGAGCATGAAAATGAAGAAACACGAGGAGCTAGAAACACCAACATTCACAACAAGCATCCCCATCGAAGTCAATGAAGATTAGAATTGTCCAAGAGGCTGGGCCTCCCTCTTTGCACACACAGCGGATTTTTTGAGTCGCTATTATTTGTTATTGCTACTGATACGATTTTGAGGGCCACGGCCTACTTTGTATGTTTTACAAGGAAAATAATGATTAAAAAACGCCTTTTATACTTTTGTTCACAACATTCAAATACCATTATATAGTCTAAAATTTTTCACAGATTAAGAAAAGATGTAATATTTGTCATATTTTGAACAATCGACTTTTATAGTATACGAATATTATAAAAACTTCACAAGTACTGATGAAAACAACGACTAATTATAAGTATTAAAAAAATTATCTTTAGACATCAGTAAAAAAATTTAATTCTCTATTGAAGGCGTTCAGTAATCGCATGCGTAATATTAAGTAATACTTGATTCTTCCTTAACTGTTGAATGCATTAGAATCCCACGTTGCGTCAAAACATTTTAAACGGAAGAAAATGAAAATGCTAGATTATCTACATATTTTTGCGACGTTTAAAAATTATGCATAAGACGTATTCGATACTTACATGAAGAAAGTGTTCCAGTAAACATGAGCGTGAGAGTTGAAGCGAAAAAATATAGAATAAGATTAATATAATAGATCGAAACGCATCCGTCCTGTTTGAGCAATGCTGTTTTCGTAAACTTCACAAAATAAAAAATGTACAACAAACCAATTGGTTGCGCACCATGAAATATTAAAATCAAAAGATTTACATTTGAAGCGAGTTATTGAAAAGTTCGGAAATGTTCATGAGACCGTTGCCTAGCCCTTTGGCATGTGTAAATAATTCGAGCGATAAAATTTAAATTCTTTTTTCCATTCTGTGCCAAATTCAAAGCTACTACCAAAAGTTGCTTGATCCAACACTAGTCTTCTCCGAACTATTCAAACTGCTTTAATTTCTATTGCTGACCATTGAAAAAAGCACTAACAAATGAGGTGATGTAAAACGTTGAATAACTGATATTCATTACCTAATTTAAAATGTATACATCAAATCAATCAGTAAATACAAAATATTTTTGTAATTCATGTTTACGAATTTGAAAATTGTTGGGTGGATATAAGATTTTTTACAAAAATGTTTGTACAGTCATATTAAGTATTTTTTCGCCTCTGAGAAAATTATATGCGTTTATATTTGTATGCATAGCAATAAGATTAAACGAAATGATTTTTCAAATTGTTTACGCTCTGATTTTTTAATTGGATAATATTTTACATCTCCGGTTTGATGTCGTACCGTTTATCATATAATTATTATCAAGACTAGGTGTAATGATAAACTTGAAAATGCCATTGTTATTACTTGAGCTCTTATATAAATAACTCTAATAAAGTTTCATTACATTAAAGTCAAACATTTTGATACAAAGAATTTGAAAAATGAAAGGAATTATGACGCTTAGTTGGCAAGTGGTATTTTCACGTTGAATACTGTATTGGAGATGGATGTTTGGCATTTTTAAACAATTTATCAGAAATAAAACGTGGATTAATTTTTTGTATTATGATTTAAAATAATAATATTATCGAATGTTTGGTTTACATTTTTAAAAACCAATATACCAGTGTTTAATGTATTGAAAGCAATTTTTTATTACTTTTCCTTCCCCTGCGTCTTCATACAACCTGATATGAATCTGACTAAAATTTCTTTTTGGAATTTTCATTTTTATCTATAAATATAAAGAAGCACCCATACTTACGCGACCACTTTGCTTTTTACTTTCTTTAAGAGTGTATTATATCACTCAATATTGTTAAAATTCTATTGTGGGAAGGGAACGAACGCATCTCATACTGATATTATGCTAATTTATTATTTAAGAATATTACGTTTTCAAACCTTACTCAAAATCGTGAAATATTATTGGTACTTGTAAGTTAAAATTTACTTTACAATTTTAAACAAACGATTATCATTCGATTACGCGCTAGCAGTAGAACAAAAGGAAAAAATTTTCAAAGTAGTCGTAAGGTAACAAACAAGATATTCATTATCGTTAGAAAGAATTTACTGTTTATATCAGTAAGTTATGAAAATGAATAGATTTATTCGAATGGTGTAAATTCGAGAAACTTATAAGACGATCGGCTTACAATTAATAATATGCTTCATTTTTCCCATAAAGTTATTGCTTTTTTTAATAAATTAAATATAGTTTTCACACAACGTGATGACTTCAAAAGAAGTTATGATTTTGTTTATGAAAATTTTAAATTTAATTAAAAAATTTAATTCTTCTTTCCCTTCCTCTGCAGTTTCTATTTTAATTATGTTTCGAATTTCATAACTATCCATGTCTTTTACATTCCGCAAATGGTTTAGACTTTAGAGAATTATTGTCAATTTTTTAGTTACTACTAAATCCATACCATTGAACAAATGTTGTTAGTATTAAATATAATTATCAAAACTTATAGAATTTTTTGTTATGAATGGTGAGATTAGGAAGTTTTCAAGATTTGATTTCTTGTCTATTATTTCACAATCATTTTGACCAAGTTCTTCATTTACTATGAAACAACTCCAATAAGATTATTATGTTATATTATTTTTATAATTTCATTCTCAAAAAATGATGATTACCCAAAGGAAAAATTGAATAAAATGCTAGATTCTATCTTTCTCGCTTGGAATATTGTTAAAAATTAATGTTTCTGTGATGATTTAACACATAAAACTAATTGAACAAAAAAATACCGATGAAGACTGCTGAACTGTGCTCGCTATAATATGCAAAACTGTAAGTATTCAAAGGACGCCAGCTTCTTATGCTTCACAAGTTCCGTAGCATATTTATTATCTACGTAGCATAGTACAAAACTCCGAGCCAAACAAATACAAGGATCATGCAACATAAACAACACAACGAGGACGGCTCCATGCAAACAGTAATATCTCTTTAATGACGCCGTGTAAATTTAAATATTGTAATATATTAAATAACGTTACAATAATTTTTAGACAAATATGTACTTGCCCAAATTATCATGTTCGAAAATTATAAGTTGCAAAAATAATTTAAATTTGCCGCTCAAATTGAAGTTGGTAGCATCGCATCTGGGATCTGCCTGTCTGCTCTGCGGCAAACATGCCACTCCACGTGCGTTTTCGTGACCAAAATATTGCCGGCTAAATTATTTATACTCGTTTTAATACACAAATTACACAATGAGAGTTTTAGCGAAAGATAAAGAGGAAAAAGTCCTCGCAAAAATCGAAAAATAGTAAGTATTCTTCAAGTAGGTTGCATTGAAGTCAATATTATCTCAAATCAGCAGATCATTTAATTTGTTTTGTCAATTTTTTATTTGACAGCATTGGTGATGACGTGCAAAATTTATTCAAACGTCCCGATGGAGATTATTGTTTCCGAGAAAAAAAAGATCGCGTGTATTACGCATCCGAAAAAATAGCTAATCTCGCCAGTACAGTCGCTCCTGACAATTTAATGAGTTTTGGTATCTGCATAGGAAAATTCACTAAATCTGGCAAATTCCGTATGCATATTACAGCCCTGCCAATATTAGTTCCATTTGCTAAGGTAATTATTTGACTGACTTTTTGATGTCAATCATTGTTTCATGTATTATTTGCATTCATTTTTCTACAACTTAAAGTTATATATATTTTCTGTAGCATAAAATATGGGTCAAATCATCAGCGGAGCAACAGTTCTTGTATGGACACAATATTAATAAATCTGGTTTGGGTAGAATAACGGATCAAGTTACAAAGTATCAAGGAGTTATTGTGTTATCCATGAGCGATTTACCACTGGTGAGAAATGCACTCTTTTTCAATGATATAACTTATATTATTGAAATTATCCATTTATTAATATAAAATGTTTCACAGGGTTTTGGAGTCGCGGCCAAGAGTACTCCAGAATGTTCAAATGCAGATCCAATGACTGTTATTTGCTTTCACCAAGCAGATGTAGGAGAATATATCAGAAATGAAGACGATTTACTTTAGGTAATAAATTGTACAGCGACCTTTGTAAATTATAACAAGTTAAGTTAGTAAAAAAAAATATTTATTAATATAACAATTTTTTAATACAGAAAATTGTTCACTAAAATTCCAATATTTTTTTCAAAACTTAACTTAGCATCATTCAACATAATATGCAAATATTTATTCACTTTATTTCCTTTTGAATTTACTATATACAACTTCTGCTGATCTATAAAGATTACAGGATCTGAATGATATAGTAGATACTTGATATATTTATAATTAAGCTTCATATTTGTAAGAGCAGGACTTAATGTTTTAACCTTCATGCTGTTCATGACACATTTAAATGGATAAGTCAGATCAGGAAATTTTTTAATAATCAAACTAATCATCAAATTACATTTTGTACCTATTTATTTTTAGTTTACATCAAGACGTAAGCAATCAGCACATGATAATTCAACACAAAAAATGACAATCAGTTTTCAATTTATGAGTTATTGTTTCAAAATTAGCAAAAAAATATTTACTACCAGATAAAGGCTTGCTAAAAAAATAATTAACAAAATTTGAAATAATACTTTTGTGGCTCTAACTCAAAAATATTTATTATTCAACAAATATTTACGTGTAATAGTTAAAGTAATATTATATTGTTTTTCTAAAAAATATGAAGGTTTTGATTTGGATTACTAAGTCTAAATTAAAAAGAAGGAAATGTGTTTAATGTTAATGAAGAAACATGTAATTTGCTGTATGAAAAAGCATAGTTTAGTTAAAAATTATATATTTATTTTCTTTGAAAAATCTAACTAAACAACTTAAAAGACTTAAAAATTTAAATACAAAAAGTCTGGATATGTATAAATATCTATGCACCAAAGTGTTTTCAAAATTTGACAATATTGCACCATTTTTCTAATGAACTATGACATTGGGAATTGTAGCACCAATAAATGAAATGTTTTTTAATTTCAAATTGGTATTAAAAGAAAAAATCCTGATTGATAAAGCTTTATCAGCACCACATTTTAACTATAAAAATCAAATATTTCAGAAATATTTTTAGTTATAACTTTTAGTTCTTTCTTCTTTCCAATAATATATCATCTTCAGGTTGAGGATGTCTTCTGTATGCTTCTTGTGAAACTAAATACACAACTAAGCCTCCAAAAATAACAAAAGCAAGACCAATTATATTAACCAGTACTCCTTCACTGGGCAAATCACTGTAAGGTCTGTAAAAATATTACGAAAACGTGAATCCAATGAAAACAAAAAAATGTAACAACTTTTAATCACAATTGGTGAAGTTATTCTGAACTAGTTTTAAGTATGTAGACTTACGTTGCATCTTTCAAAGTAAAAAAAGCCTTTTCAGTCAAACCCATCAAGCAAGCGGCAATGGTCCCCACGAAACCAGCAGTGCCGAAATAAACGTGAATGGGCATGTAAGCAGCTCGCGTTGACTGTTGCACGACTGGGTACAGGAATGATAAAAATCCAGCTAGCCACTGCAAATAAATGAAACGTACATCGCTACAATATAATAACTTTATGTCACATACTACGCGTGATATCAATTCAGCGAGTATTGTTACATAGAGTACAGGGGAAGAACAAATTTTCTAATATTGTGCGATAGTTTTTAATGAGTACAGTTATTATAAAATTTCTCGTATAATTCACGTATTAGTTTCGTAGAAAAAAATATCGTACTGAAATAAACTATTAGTAGCTGGCTATCATTGATACGTTCACCGGGAATGGCTCTTAGACTCTGTTTCATTTTTAATAGAAAAAGAAAATAGCAAGTATTAAGAAAGGGAGCACTTTCAAAAGCATTTTTTTTTCTAATCAGTCCGTCGATGACCATTTTGGAATGAATTATATTTCACATTTAATCATTCAAACATCACATACCTGGCAACAAAATAGAATGACACTTGCCAAACCTATCCAGCTATGTAACGAGTACATATTAGGAATGGGTTTATCAATAGCTAGATTATGACTGTCGAACACTGCTACAAGTCCGATTACTGTAAGTAATACTGTAAATATCATGATTCCAGAATGAATCAACTTCAAGCGCCTTTTTCGTACAGTCCTTTGAGTTCTGTAAATCAGCATTCCTGCACATAAATTTAAATCAATTTGATATAAATGAATTATCAGCATACATTTTATATAAAAGCATTCGACTATGGCTGAATAATTACCGTTCGCGTACAAAAATACTAGACCGATGGTCATCAACAGAGGATGCCAGTTGAACTCTAAGCCTGGCTGCGACCTCCACGCAAATCCTCCGCGATAACTGATGGTCCATATTCCAACTAATATAATCAATAGAATTCCGGCCGCTTCGGTAATATAAAGAAGCAGGTTGAAATTTTTCAAGTTTTGAACAGGAGCAGCTTCGGGTGATTGATCCATATCTGTTGAAAATCATGCAATTGAATCGCTTACGATGTTGAGAGTTTTTAGAAAAAGCTTTTTTTTTGTAAATTAGTATTAGTTTTAAATTGCGTTCGTTTCAAAAAGTTGTTATTTTTCATGACAGTGAAAGAAAATAGAAATTTAGAGATGAAATAATAGAGTAGTGTGAGTCCAATAAATTTAAGGGCGTCGCTGAATTATCATACATGAATAAAAAAGATTGTGGTGAAAAATCGATCGATGTATCGCATGCGTATAGTGCTGACTCCGGATACACATCTGCTAAACGAATATTTAATTCAAGCGAGGCTTGCATGACTTTTCAGTACCGCGCAGTACTTGGGATGTATATGTATGAGAATTCCTTGAGCACTATCGCGACTTAACTATCATCTTGGTTTTATTGGACGGCGCGATATGAAATTCCGGTAATTCAAGTCTGCTTCGGGGATTAAGAGCCTTGTGGAATGGCGTCTTCGGTGAAGTTCTTCTTTACATTCGCGCAGTTAGTACAAAGAGAGAGAGAGAGAAAATTATTTTCACGCGATATTTTTATGAAAATTGATTTTTCCTAGCTTAACCGACGAAAAGCAAAGTGAATTGTTCCATGACGTACCTTGGCACACGCTATACTCGTAGGGATAATCGTCGGGCATATGGGAAGATGCGGGCGGCGTGCGACGCTCTCAAAACTGAATGAAAACAAAACATCGACACATTTACGCATAAGCGGGGGGGTCGTTCAGTCGCATGCGAGAAGTAGGTAGTAGAGATATATATTTTACATAACTATAAAATAATTATATACAAATTATACATGCGTCGGCAAGTATTTTTAAATTGAAAAAAATACGACACGCAATATCTGAATTCATGCAATTATAAGTTACTCATCGAGTTTTTACATAACAACACGCGCAGTTGAGAAAATACGCGCCGCTGCAGATGCACTCGCAACACAATGCAATCGAGATAGGCTCGGTATTAAAGCGCCCCGACGCGTCGAGTTTATTGCTCGGGCGAAGATCGGAGTCGCGTTCCCAATTTTAGCGGAAAACGACGAGTGACGTTAATGAGGATAAACAATGCAAGCGTCGTTGAGAACGTGCGTAAGGTTCTCTCAAGCTGTTTACGGCAATCAAGCGGTCTCGACTGTCGCGAACAATGAATACACGCACGACCATTCACGATTCCAGTTTTTGTGCGTGAAATTATGTTAAAGTTGACAAAATGAGCGTGCAAAAAATGTAATGTAAACAGCTCGCGATCGATCGCGCATGATTGGCCAAATACCTGCGACTGTTAGGCTGCAGCCGACTACCTGTAGAACGTGTGTTTATTTAAGTACTCCCCGCGATTGAACTTGAGTATATGTAATCAACAGGTGCGGCTGGAAGCTCTTGGCGCGACTGCCGAGTTCCAACTAACGGTGAGAAAATCTACCTCTGCCACGGCGGCATAGAGCAGCAGCAGCAGCAGCTGCAACGGCGAGTTGTGCGCGTTACGCACTCGGCACAATTTTCTATCCTATTGATTTTGCTCTGCGCAACGGGGATATATGTGCTAAGTAAGCCGGAGTTGCTGCACTGGAGCAGCAGCAGCTGTGCCTGTGTAGCAGCAACAATACACAGAGTACTGCGTCTATCCTGAATTTCTTTGCCCCCGACCGAGCTGTAGCTGTGAGTCTATGTGTATATATCCTTCATGTGGGACAGATCGTAGCCTGCGAGCAAAATTTTCTATGGGCTTTGCACGAGTAGGGAGTCGAGTGGGAGACTGCGTGTACAAGACGGGAGAGGAACGAACATTCGCCGGAACGCTGGGTCGACTTGACCGCGACTGATATAGCAACGGCGATAAGGCGAGAGTAAGAGAGAGAAAGAAATAGTGGCTCACCATAGTGGGGCTTTCGGCGACGCAATCGCCAGCTCGAGCCCGGCGCGCCGTCGCTTTTTATCGGCTCGCTTTTTCGAGTCAATGTCATTGTATCGCTGTACGATAAACAATGTTGAGTCGGGGGCTCCCGGCACTTACTACGCTAGCGAATCGAAGCGACGACGATAATTTTTTGCTCATTAGAGTCCCTTAATTATACTCGCTTCCGTATAATATAATACGTGCGAGCGGCGATTATCAAAGGCAGAATTTGCAGGATCTCGAATCACACGACGTCCTGCGCAGTACAGTCGATCTGCGGATTAGTTTCAAGTTTACGACTAAACGCGCCATGTAAACATTCGCACTACCACATGTCAATGAGTATATGTATATATATATCTTTATATTATATCCCACTATAAATATACTCGATGAGTTGGCTGCGATGCGGCGTCGCTCCAACCACCCACGCGTATCGCGCACACTCGGAGCTCTGCGGACTGTGTAAACGACGACTCAAAAGTGAAACCCGAGTACGGGCGACTTCGGCTTATTACTTATACACGTGGTTTTTGCAAAGTTCATCGAGTTACGTGCGCGTGAGTGCAGAAACGATCGAGCCTTGACATTCGGTAATAAGAGAAGTGGCAATTTATAAACTTGGGAGCACATGCTTTTTACAACGTAATCCTTCTTTCTATCGTGTATTTTTTTTAATATTTACATTTGCTGCGTGACGTTTCAACTTTAATAACGTTTTGACGATCGCTAAGAGACATAGCAATCATAAATAATACATGATATCTCATCGATAACAGCACTGTGAAAATTATAGATATAACAAAAATATTTATCTAATAATCTTGATGCATACTTGTTATTATTTTAAATTAATTCCAATAATGTAAAATATTCAAAAATAGTACAATGATTTTAAGACAAAAATGTATAATTCTCAAAATTATCAAGCTCGAAAATTTAAAGATGAAATAATAATTTTAAACATAATGATCAAATTGAAGTTAGTTTAGTTGGAGTTACTATACTCAGCTCGCTTTAAGTGGTCTAACTTAGAAAAATTAATCTATTGATGCGGTACAGATAAGTGCGTTTTGCGCTCTCTCTTTCTCTCTCTGACAGAACATAGCGGAGATGCGCTCGTTATATGCATCGCAATTTTAATTTCTAATACGTTACAAAAACAGACCATCTTACCTATACACATCCTTAATATTTTACATACTAAAATGGGTATGAAATAATGAGCATCAAAATGACGATGATAATGAAACTGCGCCGAAACAAAATAAAATCGGTGGAGAGTTTTCAAACTTGAAGGACGATTTGAGAAATGGCACAGCATCACTCGAAAAGTTGAACAATATTGCAAAATCTCGAAAAATCATTCTCACATCGAAAATCGAGTGCATTGAAATTGACTAAAAGTTAGAGTGAAAAACACGAATACGCTAGTGATTCTTCTGATGAGAAAGACACTTTATAGGTAACGTTACCATGAAGCGGATATAAACGCATGGGCTATGATCAGGATGAAAAAAAATTTAAAGCCTGAGAAAGGAGACTATCTAGATATTTTTTTAACGATTTTTATTTATTGTACCAAACAATGCACATTGTAATTATACCACAATTTTTTTTTGGTTTTCATAAACCTTAAAATTCGAATTTGATAGTAGAGGCAACTATTATCTTTGAGAATTGTTAATTTTTTCGTTATTAGCATTTAAAATGTATGCAACAAAAATTTATACTTCTTAAAATAATCATGTTCGAATTTTGAAAGATGAAACATTTTAAACCTGCCGCTCAAGTTGGTTTCAACTGCGCGTGCGTCTGCATTAGCAGACCGCATCTGCCGGAGTGTCCTGTGTCGCTGACGATGTGCGCCATGTGAAACTGCTTGTTGCTTTTGTGCCAGTGTCCATGTGCTCAGTCAAACTATTTACACTCTTTTTAATTTTAACATTTACATAATGAGAGTTTTAGCGAAAGATAAAGAGGAAAAAGTCCTCGCAAAAATCGAAAAATAGTAAGTATTCTTCAAGTAGGTTGTACTAAAGTCAATATTATCTCAAATAAGCAGATCTGTTAATTTGTTTTGTCAATTTTTTATTTGACAGCATTGGTGATGACGTGCAAAATTTATTCAAACGTCCCGATGGAGATTATTGTTTCCGAGAAAAAAAAGATCGCGTGTATTACGCATCCGAAAAAATAGCTAATCTCGCCAGTACAGTCGCTCCTGACAATTTAATGAGTTTTGGTATCTGCATAGGAAAATTCACTAAATCTGGCAAATTCCGTATGCATATTACAGCCCTGCCAATATTAGTTCCATTTGCTAAGGTAATTATTTGTCTGACTTTTTGATGTCAATCATTGTTTCATGTATTATTTGCATTCATTTTTCTACAACTTAAAGTTATATATATTTTCTGTAGCATAAAATATGGGTCAAATCATCAGCGGAGCAACAGTTCTTGTATGGACACAATATTAATAAATCTGGTTTGGGTAGAATAACGGATCAAGTTACAAAGTATCAAGGAGTTATTGTGTTATCCATGAGCGATTTACCACTGGTGAGAAATAAACCCTTTTTCAATGATATAACTTATATTACTGAAATTATCCATTTATTAATATAAAATGTTTCATAGGGTTTTGGAGTTGCTGCCAAGAGTACTCCAGAATGTTCAAATGCAGATCCAATGACTGTTATTTGTTTTCACCAAGCAGATGTAGGAGAATATATCAGAAATGAAGACGATTTACTTTAGGTAATAAGTTGTACAGGCATGTTTGTAGGATATAACAAATTAATTTAGTATAAAAAATATTTATTAGTTTAACAATTTTTTTAATAAAAAATTCATGACTAAAATTCAACCATTGTGTCATTTGTATAAAGTTTTTTAAGAAATAACTTAGCGCCATTCAAACATTACATATAAATATTCAATCACTCGATTTCATCTTGGATTGATTCTATCACCATAAAATTCAAAACTCCAAAATTGTGCTGAAGAATCAGAACAAGTTGAAGCTAAAACATCATCTTTAGAATTCAGACCAGAAGCATCGAGGCATAAACCAGTTCTCAAGTGTATGATTTTTCCATCCTAAATGATAATTCAAATTAACAAAAAGTGACTTGTTGAGACTTTAAAAATTTTTTTTAATTTTACCTCAGTCAAAGTCCATTCTTTGTCGTCGTCAATTTCATCACAAGCTTTCATATTAACTTTAAAAACATCTTTCAATTTTGCATGTTCAACAACAGTAGCACATGTGTCTTCTCTTCGAAGCTCGCCGTTTTTACTCATAGAAAAATACTAAACCATAGTTTAATGTAATTAATTGAATCATAATATAATTTTTTATTTTAAAAGATTCTATTCACCTGACTTGGAAAAAGTTCTGCATGACATTCATATACTCCTAAATTGTATGGTTTCTCTTCATCACGTTGTAAATTATCTAAACATAAGTTCTTTGATTGAACTTTAACTTTTCCAAATGCTTGTACATTTTCATCCGGTATAAATTTTTCTGGATAAATATTATCTAAGTACCATTTAAAACTTTTACATTTTAAACGTTCTCTTAACTTTACCCGATCTTTTGTGTCACCAATTAATTTTAATTTATCCTATAAGAAATAATATAATATTTTTAAAAGTTATATGTTCATTTAATTTGATCATCCTAAAAAAAAATTGAAAGTAAAAGAAATGTTTACTTTATATTCTTCTCGATGTAAATAGTATAATCTCTTATAATCATCCATCCATACATTTGCTAATCTAGCTGTATTTATACCATGAGTATCTTTATCAAATGGAAACTTGTATGGCAAAAAGTTTCTAAAAACATGTCCTACTCTAGAGCAGGGTATGGTTTCAAGTATTCCACCACACTGCCAAATCTTGTAATTTACATAATTGAATAAATTATTTTATTTAATGTTGTAAAAATTAATTTTTGTTACTTACTCGAAATGACATTTCAAGATTTTCTCCTCCCCATCCTTCCATTTTATCATCATAACTTCCTATCTCCCAAAAATATCGTCTACTAATTGCAAATAGTCCACCAGCCATTGTTGGAGATCTAACTGGTGATATGGGCGATGATTTTAATTTTAAATCAACATCTTGTATATTTATCCATGTAAAATGTCCAGACCATGTGAACCCTCCAACTTGGAAAAATGATGGCTCATCATTATGTGAGTATTCAAAGGTTTCTTCAGAAATATTATCTATAATAGGTGTAACAACTGCATTTGGCTTTTCTTTAATACGTTGTAGCAATGGTTCCAACCTTTAACAATTCAACATTCTTTGGTTGGTATTCAATAAAAATATTACTAAAGTAAAGTATAGTTAGTAGTACCACTGTTGTATAACTTCACAATGAGCATCCAGGAACATTAATACTTCTCCAGTAGCACTTTTTGCTCCTTTTAGTCTAGCTCGCACCAATCCTTGTCGCTCTTTCAGTCTAATTAGTTTTACTTTTTTGGGTAGTCTGGTTTCAATATAATAGTCCAACAAGCCAAGAAGTTCTTCTGTAAATATTGATAGAATTGAAGTTTAAATATTTACTCAATAGTGAGTTATTCATAGACAAACCTTCATTGCTTTTATCATCAACTAAAATAATTTCTTTTAGGAGTTTAGATGGGGTTCTTTTGAGAACACTATATACTGTACGTAAGAGGACACTAAATGCTTCATTGTGAAAAATTATTATTACACTTGTACTTGGTAGTGAAGTATCATAAGTGACATTTTTGCATCTTTAAAAAAAGTATTACTAAAATTAAAAATCAAAACTATTTGTTATCGTTAATGAAATTGAAATACATACAATGGATCTCTCACATCAGGTAATTTCCTTTGCAAGGAAATTTTGTTGGAGAGTACAATATTAATAGCTTTTTTCTTTAGAGATTCTTTTCCTTTCATTTTACTTCTACCAGTTAAATATGCAGGTTTACCATATTCACCCAGTCCATGAATAATACCTTTCATGTAATTTAAAATCAACTGTTCATATCTAAAAAATAATAAATAATTTTCATTGTAAACTTTTTGCCACGATTGAAAATGTTCAAATTTGACTTACTTATCGTTTTTCGCTTTGTAAATATCGGTTGTGCTTGGAATTGAAGTCTCTTCTTCATGATTGTCGGTTTTATTTTGTCTTACTAACAATATTTGTCTAATAATAGCGCATATGATGATCAAATATAGTATATAAATTACCCATCTGGTTTTGCAGCGCAAATTTCTCATTTTTTCCAAACTTTCATGGTCATTCCTGTTTGAAATTGGAATGTTTGACGGTGTTTTGTAGCTCTTATTGGCTCAACTAGTGGTTTTTTGTTTGCCACTGGGTAAGGTTAGATCGTATAAACAGTGCGAAAACTGCAGGGCAAATGCAACGGCGTATGTTATGTGTATAGATATATACCGAACGCAACGTTGCAGTTGCGTGTGGGCAAACAGGTTGTTAATTCTACGCGTCTGCAATGCGGAGCATACGAGCGTCACGATCTTCCGTGCTGGACTTACTTCCATAAATGGCGATTAGAAATTTTAGTTTTTAGCGTTTGCAAATTCATTTCTACATAAAGTTTGACAATTGTTTAATGAAAACTTGAGTCAAAATAATTCAGTTCGATAATCTTCCATGTTACTTAAAGGATGTAAAAGTATAGTGATTTAACAACTTGGTACTAAGAATTAGGCTTATTATGGCAAGGCAGGGTACGGATAAGTCACATTTTACTTACTCTACCGGTCTTCGTGAAAGGAATGTTGATCGGTACGTCTATCCGCAGATCGAGTTAAAAAAATTATCAATCTGACCTGACGTTTTAGAAAATTTTCTACTTTTACTTTATAAAAATACTATAATTCTATTCGAAATGATTATTTTAATAATGTAATATTAGGAACATCATATATAAAATTTGCTTTTATCATCAAATTTTCAAAAAATATTATACAGATGCAAGCAACTATGGTTAAAAAAACTTAACTAACGATTTTTTCGTGAAGTTTTTATGGTCAACTGTATTTTATCGTATTGTGTAAAAGCAACGCAAAACGTATTCAATAACATATTTAAAAGACAAATTAAACAATTTTAATTTATTGCAACGTTTTCGGAAACTTTTTGAATAAAAGTGACACGTTCTTATATCTTCATCAAATTAAACTAACAGTAAAATGTAATTACCCGTAAAAAGCCAGTCACTTCAGTTTTTTAAGCAATTGTACATTATAAGAATAAAATTAATCGAATGTCATCAAAATATTAAATATTATGAATCATAAAAGAACATTTGATTGAAATATAATCGATTCGTGCCTACAAAATTCGTTCTATTTAGTCTTTTCAATTTTTTATGAGAGTATAATCATTTCAAATTCAATATTAGGAAAATTCAATAAACTGGATGCATGATTTATTCAAATTCTATCATTGATTTATTTGCTATTATTAAAACTAGTTAAAAATTGTTTTATAAAATCACATTGTTCAAAATACTTACAAAATTTACATACTTATAAATTTTACGAGTCATTTCATAGCTCTCGTGATAAGAGCAGACACCGCGATCGTGCGGCCTATTTAAATTAACGATTATGCATAAAATCTTGCATTTATCCGTGAAAATTTTATAAATCTTATCACCCTCATAAAGAATATTCATTTTGATTTCATCGTTAATCTTTTTTATCAAAATATTTTTCGATTTCTGCAAATGATTTCCCAAGTGTTTCAGGTAAAAATACGTAGACAAAAGTAGCACCAATAAGTGAAGTAACACTAAAGAAATAAAATAAACCTTGGGCTCCCAATGCTTTTACAAGATATGGATATGTTTTTGTTACTCCAAACATCATAACGTAAGCTGCAGAAACTAAAAACCCTCCCATGATTCCCCTTACAGAAATTGGTAATAGTTCACCAATCAAAGTCCATGGAATGATAACAAAACCTATACAACTAGTGCACACATAAAACAAGACTAGAACAAGCAAAATCCATTTTTGATCAGCCATTACTTCCTTAGTTTGACCATTCTCATCAACAGCAGATGTAAGATAAAAATACATTGCAGAGAAAAACATTGAAAATGCCATACCAAGACCACTTGTAATACATAGAAATCTTCTACCATAATTTTTACTAGAAAACGACGTTAGTACACTCATTAAAAAGCGTAAAATGCCAAGAATAACCATAGCATCATATTTATCAAAGCTCTTTCCAAACGATCCTCCTAGATTTTCAAATACTGAAAGGGCATAGAAAATAATCACGTAAGTTCCTGCTAGTTGTTGCAATAAAAACAAAACGAGTAATATTATAGTTGGTTTATAAACTGTAGGTGTTTTCAGTTGTTGATAAAACCATGCCATTTTTTTGACTAGTGAATTATTTTGATTGCTACTATTTTGTGAAACTTCTTTAATTCGTACAAGTTCTTGATCATATATCTGCAAAATTGGTTCAAAAATATTTTAAATGTAGCGCCATGAGGGTCTTTAATAATGATTATTTTTATAGTGTTAGAGTGACCCAATATGTGTACTTGTTTGCAATAAAAATATTTAATAAAAACTCTATTAAAATCATGATTACTTAGATTAAACAATATTGGAAGAATACTTATCAATGATAAAAAAAATAAAATCGAATTTAGTACACATATTTTCACTTAATTGAATATTTAAAAATGTTACTTACTTGCTCCGTTTTATTTAATTTTTTTAGTATAGTTTCAACTTGATGGTTTATTTGACTTGATTCACCTTTTCCAAAACACATAATCCAGTATGGACTTTCAGGAATAAATAGTAGTGAAAAAAATATGCAAATATTCATAATTAGAAAAACAATTGCCATTTGATTCCATGCTAGCCATACTCCCAATGAATATGTTAAAAGAATACCAAGTGAAACAAAAATTGAATTGAAACAAAGCAGCATAGGTCTTATTTGAGGATGCGTTATTTCTGATATATAAACAAGGCTAACTGTGGAAAGTCCACCCGAAATTCCAGCAATAATTCTTGCAATATAAATCAATACTTCAGACTTTGCTACTATTAAAAAAATCCATGATATAATACTAGGAATGCATGAAATTATACAAATTTTCTTTCTTCCAAAATAATCCATTAGCGGCCCAACAAACAATGAACCACAAGGTAATGATAAAGTTACTAAACTTGCTGTTAAAAAATAAATTAATTATGTAATTTGAGTTAAAAATAAAGTTATTTTTTATTATTTCTTACCTATCCATGATATTTGGTCCGTGGTCAAAGTATCTTTTAAACCATCTTCTAAAATCGTACTATATGCCATATTAATTCCAGCTTGGATAACTATACAGTGAGCTAAACAACTGATGATAATCTGAAGAAAGCATATAAAAAAATATAGTTTCTTTTTTAAATAAATTTTGAATTATTCAAAACATCTTACCTGAGGTAAAACATCTTTATAAACTAATTTGTGTGTTTTGACTGAATCAAATCCTTCCAATACCACTTCACTGAAAAATACTTTACGCACATAAAATAACATAATTTAAGGAATATTTGAACAATTTTCACATTTTTGTCAAGAGCATAATAATCATAATAATTGAAACAGAAGTTGACTGAAAATTGATGTAGAAAAAATTTGTTTTCAAGAACATCTAACTTCAAGTGAGATAGTTCAATATATTGTCTACATCATACTGAATCAAATGTAATACTGCTGTACATAGATGGTTTTAGAATATGCATTCATTATGAACGCAATGACCTTCATTAATATATCATTGAGTTTTAAATCTGTCAGCAAAGTGAAAGGTAAAATAGTTCTTGTGTTTACCCAATTATCATCAATAAGTTACTGCAATAAGAATTAAATAAACTAATCTAATATTTAGTGTTTATGAATATTTTTAAAATTCATCTTAATCATTGCTAAGAAAAAAAATTGTAATTATTGAAATGATAACTTAAGCAGAAAACACAATGTAAAAAACAGAACAATTAAGTAAAATTAGCCAAGTTAGGATTGACAAAAGTGTTTATTAATCAAAATTAAACATTAAATTTCTTACTTTTTTGAGACTTCATAGTCATCGTCTTTTGAAGAATCTGAAGAAAGATTTAATGGCATTCTTTCAGGTGACTGAGGATTACTTCCATCCATTCTGAAAAAGTTATAATCAAATTTGGGTTAACAATTCTGTTTGAATATAGTAAAATATTTTATTTATAAAAATTAAAAAAAATCAAAAAATTTCTTGTACAATTAGTAGTCCGAAATGTATGTAATTGTCTTGCTACTTAGGCGCGGGTGTGTTGTACAAATGATTCGACAGAATTTTTGAAATCTTTTTTTTTCTATCGTACATTTACAGCATGAGTATAGATTTTTTTCATCAAGATCATTATAAGCCTAATCGAATATAATAAAACTTCATTACCTTGAAGCTGTAATTATTTTCCAGAATTTCTGATATAGATCAATCAATCGCTCGAGGCGCAGTGATTTGATCAATCTATTGTATCTCAAGTACAACAATACAGCTCGCTGCTGCTGTTCATAATTTATCGCAAGCTTAATTATTTAAGTTCGTCTGTATCTTAAATAGATAAAAGCTACGAGGCAAAAAAAGAGCACCAACGTTGTATTCTATTTATTTCATCAGTCCTGTAATCATGACTATATGCGTATACATGAGCCGACTGTCGGCTGTCGGCTGTCGGCTGCCGTGTGCCGAGCTAATGCTACACACATCGCATTCGATAGCGTGCAGCGCAATGTGCAAATTAAAAGGAATACTGCTTGCTACTTCCGGATTTTCGCGCGATATGTAACGCGATTGTTTGACAACTAAGCTCGTTACCACGCGCCTTGTAAGCCGATACTAGCTCCGCACCAAAACATGTAATCATAATCGGTATTTTATGTTTAATAATAAGCTATGTAAGGATTGTAAACACACTGACGTGCATCGTGTGTTGGTCATGCGCTATTCGAAAGTTCTGTTATTCAAAACACATTATACGTAGTACAAAATACTGTGTAGATATATTTAGCACAGAACTACACAGGCAACCTGTGCTTTTTTTTACTTATTTAGTTTTTATATTAGTTTTTATTCTGCAAAGTATCAAAACGAAATTCAAGTATAAAGCTCTTCAGAACATGAATGTTAACCTCAAGTCATAACAAAAGTAGATATGGAACTGACTGACAGTAGAGTGAAATGTCTGCTAGACGGACAAAAATTAAACGATTTAAGTGAAGAGACTTTCGATCAATTAATAAATATTTCTGTTTCTCACATATGTGGAATAACAAACTCTAAAGGTGAATAAATTAATCATTTTTATAGTTTAATTTTACTGTAATAATCTTTTTCATAATTCAAAGGTATAATATAATTATTTTGAACTTATTACTAATGTTTTTTTAGATCTCAGTAATATATATGGCTCAAAACCAGACATAATCAAATCAGCATACAAAGATGTTCTAAGGTTACTAGTTGAAGCTGCGAAATATGATTCAAGTTCGGTTCAGTTAAATAGCCTACTCCGCTGTTCTACTCTCAATCCAAAATATATAACTAAATTTTGTGAAATTTATGAAAATCATAAATCTACAATCCAGCAATGTTTAGAGTCTTTCGGAAACTCTTTACCACACATTGTTGATGTTGACTGGAGATTAGATTATTGTATAAAAGTAAGTGCTACTAATAACATACAAATATTTGATGTAAAAATCATAATTCCAAAAAAATTTTCCAGTCTAACTTTGGTGCTCCAGCGGAAACACATGTATACATTGTGTCACTTAGTACAATCAAACATGGGAGTTTAGAAAATGTCAAGTTTAAATGTACTATTCAGCAACTTCAAGAACTAATTTACAAATTAAAAGATGCTGCCAGACATACTGAAAAATTGGCAAGCTCTTGAGAAATTAAAATAAAAAATAATTCTAAAGAAAGTCTTAATAAAGTATACACTCTTTTATATCTTTGTATGGACAAGGACAATTCAATCCTTTATGATTTATTATTCAACTAATTAAAAATACATTCTTTTCTGACAAATATTAATATCAATTTATAAATTAAAAAACTTTTTCACAATAAAGTAAGATGTTATGATTATGTCCTAAAATAATAAATATGTGTATATTTATATATTATATATCATATAATTCTTAGATATTGATTTACATATAAGTTATTTATATTTATATAAATTCTTTAAACATGTTACAATATTTACAATAAAATGTAGAGTTGATATTCAACTAAACATAAAATGAATTTTCTTGAGTTTTGAGACTATACATCAAAATTTAAATTTATTTAAATTTTTTTTTTTTGAGTACTGATGCATTACTCAAATATCATTTTATAAAAAAGATATGATGATATATAGTTTTTTCAACTTTTTTTTATGAGCAATATATTTTCCTCAAATTTGAGGCAAGGTACTCTGTGATAATTCATGGAGAAAATACAGCATGGTTCGTTTTTATCTAAACGGCATAACGATCACAGTGTAAGATTATTATTTTCTAAGTGGTGCAAAGATATATGCACAGTGTTACTATTGAATAAATTTATTGTTCCATGTCAATTTACTCAATTTAAGGTATAATAAGGCCTCAGGAATTTTACTAAATTACACTTTAAAGATTTTTTTCATGAAATTTTTGCTCTCTTTTCATCTATGTTCAATTATTTTGGAGATTTAAAAAAATTGTATTCTTAATTTTAATAAAATCAGGGGTCTTGTTTAATATGTCCTAAGCTATCTAAAATGAGGCAAAATCAATGCATAAGGTGAAGCAGACATTACAAAAGGATTATGATTTCAATAATTAAAATTTCGGTTAAAAATGCATTGGCAGAAACAAGTAAATATTTCTTTGTTCTTAATATGAGGCTTAAACTTTTCATTAAAAACGTATGTAACACTAAGCTGCTTCACTAAAAGTACTATTCTTAATTTTTTTAATTAACATAGTATTTTGTTTCAAATACACAGTAAATTAAAGATCATGAAATGTCATTTACAAAATAATATACTGATAACAATTTTACGATTTTTTTTATGTATTTGATGGCTGAAAATCATAAATTTTTAGTGAAAGCAAATAGATAAAAATAATTTATTCAGCGATATCAACGCTATATTTACGAAGAACGTCGATGTATATATATTTTGTAGATATTAGTTCATGATCAGTTAGGTATGACTCATTTTCATTCCATTCAAGTAGCTAGTGCATTTAAAAAATGTATCAAATTAATATTTTATGAGATACAAATAATATATATTGTATATATAAACAATGCTTATGAACGTTGTTAAATTATTTAGACTCTGAAGTAAGACCAGATGCTTGCTTATATTACTTCAGTATAATTCAAATAAATTTTAAGAGGCCACAATGTTTGTAAATTATAACGATAATCCTCAATACTAGTCAAAAATGTTATAAATATACGATCTTCTGCATAAATATTCAGTAATGATTACATGCATGTTACATATAACGAAGGCATATTATGTCAACACTTTTTATTTAAAATTTTTATTTAACGTTTAAAATTTGTGCACTGCACAATGAAAAATATCATTCAATATTGAGTAACATCTTTTTTTCTCAAATTTTAAAAATAAAAGAGTGTGACTGAAAATAGTTGATAAAATTAATGGCAGGATGAATGATTAAATCTGGCAACGTTGGGACTTTGTGGTTTTGAATAAAAGTAGAAATTGACAGAAACAATAACTATAAGCTTAAAATAATTTTTAAATTGTTGCACTCACATAATAAACAATCATATAATGCTAGACACTTGCCATAAAACAGAAACAATAAATTACCTTTGTTGCATATTTACAATACAATTATTTACATGTGTTTTGTCTTGTTGATCGATTTACGATTCTGTCTTAGTTTTCTGTGGGTCATTGATAATTTTGGTGTTGGCCTTTTCCGATTCAACATCTGCAACATTACCACTTTTTTGTTTTATTTCTGTAGCCGTATTTGTAGAATCTTTTGCTTCCATTTCAGTACTGGTAGAAGATTGCGATTTTACACCACTCACAGACGTTTTTACCTCGTCATTTGATTTTTCAGATTCATGTGCACTACTTTTGGACGTTTCATCATTGGAAGTAGACACGTCGATACCTCCATTAAGTTTAACTTGGGTTTTACCGTCAGTCTTTTTTTCAGCCTGCTGATTATTGGTTTCAGAGGTATTTTCATGCTTTGGTTCTTCAGATTTCTGTAATTGTTGTTCTAGCTTTGATTTGTTACTTGACATCTGTTGCTTAGAAGAAGTATTGTCGAGACGACTAAGATCGTAAGCATTGACATCACGTTGCGGAAGGTTTTTAGGAATCTGCAAAGCACCACCCAATAAGCCGACACTGTCTGGTACCGATTGATTGGTATTTGGTGAATTAGAAGTTGGTTTTGACGATTTGGATGTAGTGGGAGCCACACTTATAGATGGAGAGCTGGAAGCGTGCACCGAGGCAGAAGAGGCCATAGCAGCGGCTAGCCTGGCTTGATTATATGCAAGTGCACCAGCTACTCGTGAAGTCGCGGACTGGTTCAAAAAATTTGAACGTTCGTACATTTTACTGATAGAGGGTGGAAGATTGGTGTGGAAGGCACTTTGGGGTGGTATATTCAGATTGGGTCTAATTAAGGGATTGGTAAATCGGTTAATTGGACTTTTATATGTCGTTGGAAAATGAGAATACATAAGTCCTGGGTTTGTATTTGGAGTAAGTGACGGAATGAATGGATTTGTCGACAGCATGTTGATTGGAGAGTTACCCTTGGATAATGGTGCACTTGCACTACTACTCGTAGAAAGATTTGGCCTTATAGAAAAAGGACTGGTAGGATAATTTCGAGTAGATTTAGGCGTATATGGCGAAGGTGGACCGATCGGCGAATTTGAATTCGGCAGAAGTGGAGGCATCGTTTGTTGGTCAATTTTCATCATGCTTACACTTCCTTTAGGTATTTGATGTTGTGAAAATTTCTGATTTAATGCCTGATCTTTATCTTTTGGTGATGGTTGATCATTTGATACTCCATACATAGGTTTTACACCTGATGCTGGATTTCCTGTAATAAGAAGTACGTGAGTTTAATAAACTTTATAATATTTAATATATCATTCGTTTTTGAAAATATAAACTTATAATTTTTAAATACCTAAAAATCGTGGAGTGTTTCTGATTTTAAATATTTTTGCTGGTTTTGATGATCCTTGCTTAGAAGTATCCATACCATCAGTCAATCCATAATTGATTTGTGCTTGATTCATGAGTTCCTTTGCTTGATTTTTCACCGCAACATAATTGTTTTTAGATAACGTAGGATTCCAAGATTTTGGTGGATCTCTGAGTGTTTTGTAACCAACGGCCTGAGATTGCTTCTTTTGAGGTGAATTCCGAACACTTTGAGCAGCTTGAGCGAAAAACGCTGCTTGCGCAGGTGACAATGATGAGGATTGCCTTTTGTCTTTATTTTCAATAAGAGCCATAACTTGATTATTAGTACCCGCATTAAACATTGAAATATTAGGAATATTAGGTATATGTTTAGTAGGTACTATAGTTTCAGGAGTTGATTTAGAAATTTTCAATAAATCGGGTATATCTGGCTTTACTCTTTGAGTTCCTGAGGCTTCAAGCTTGTTCTTTTCTTTTGTGCTCTCTCCAATCTTAGCACAAATATCATTAATCTTGGAACCACTCGAAGCAATGTTATTTTTTCTGTTTGACTTCATTTGAGAAATAGGTATAGCATCTGGACAGGGAGGTGTGGAATACATATTTGGAATCTCATGATTTCCTTTTGCACTCGAGGAAGCTGGTTTGGACCCAATACTACTGAAACTCTGTGATGAACTTGCAAAAGAATTATTCTTTGAAGGTGTAATGGAGTATATACTCATGGATGGAGTTTGGATGCTAAATCTACCAACTGATCCTGACGAGCCAGATGACGTTGTAGAGCAAATTATATCTTTTCCAATGTGAGGCATGCCAGGTAAAGAGCGTAACTGCTGATCTGTTGTTAAAGATTTATGAGATAAATTTTTATGTTCAGAGTTTTCTATACGATTGTTAACCAGTTCTGATTTTATTGATCTTCTTGTTGGACTATCATTTTCTAAAGTTGAATTTAAAGACACTGCAGTTGAATTTTTTAATTTTGATTCTGGTATGTTTTCCGCTAATTTTGACGATTCCGATTTTACAGAAACGTTTGGGATCTTAGGGTCATCAAGAATTGTTATTGAGTTGTCAGATTTTTGCTTATCCAGCAATGATTTTTTAACATCAGAATTGGTTGTTGAACCAATTTTTGGTTGAACCTGAAGTTTAGCACTAAGTGCATTAATTTTAGCACCTGCACTTTGTGTGTTTGGTTTGGTTTCATTTGTGTGTGATTGTGCTTTCGAGTTATTTTCTAATTTATTACTACTAGATTTATCTTTATTTTCAGAGCAGTCATCTGTTTCCATTTGAAGATTTCTTAGCTTTTCATCGGATGTTTTTGACAATTTTTCAGAAGAAGAATCAATTTTGATCCGGGATAGTTCTGATTTATTCGTGACTACAGATTCTTTACTCATATTTAATTCACTGCCATTTTTTACAGGTTCTTTTGCAACATTTTGTTGCTTTGTAGATTTTATATCCTTTTCATCACTTTTTGATTCAACTTGAATTTTAATTGGCTCTTGTTGATTTTTTTCACTTTCGTTTTCTTGTTGACTGTTTTTATTTTTTTCATTTGAAATATTCTTAGAATTCTTGTCTTCATTTATATTGTTTAAATTATTAACACTTGGAACTACACAATTTTCATCGATTTGTTGATTAATCACATTTTCATTTGTACTCTTCTTGGTTTCTAAATTTGATATATCTGTAACACTCATAACACCAGTTTCAGAAATTTTCAGCTGAACTTCTTTCCATTCACGTTTAGAAAATTGATCATCTTCTTTTGCATCAACTTCCATTTTGTTACATGATAAAACTTGTTTAAACTCATCATTCAGTTCTGACATTTTTCTTTTTTTTCTTTCAGACTCAAATATTCTATAACTTAGATGCAATGGAACTTTCTGTAATAAAATTCATAGTATTATAATATGTTTTTTACTTTTAATTAATTTTTATTTACTTAAAATTTTAAATAAACTTACTCTTTTCCAATGATGAATATACATTATATCCATTAATGTATATGAAGCACAAAGGGTTTCTTCTTTATAAATTATGTCTATTCGATGAGTTTCATTTAAACCATATTTGGCTCTTATCAATTTTTGCAAATGAAAAACCGTTACTGCAGCTGGACACCTTAAATACCTTCTAGGTAAGTGTTTTATAGCTGCATCTTGATTATCAATATTTTCTGTTTCCTTTGTTGTTTCAGGGCTATAGTACTCAAGAGAAAGGCTGAGTGATTCTTCTGGAGAATAAATATAACTATCTTCTGGTTCTCCTCTAGCTTCTGGTGAAATAAGATGAATTTTAGCCTCTGGATTTTTGGCATAAAACTCTTTACGTTTTTGCATTTCATCTGAAAGAAATCAACTCAATTTTAAGAAAACACTCAAAATGACAATGTAAATGATTATTAAAGTATCTTACTTTGGTAACATCCAGGCACCAATTTATAAACAATATCTTGAAGAATTAAATCTGGCTTAATATTCAACAAAGGTTTACTTTTGTGTATTACTATGCTGCATACAGGACATTGTTTACTTGTCTCCAAATGTTTTACAATACAGCTTTTGCAGACTAAAAAGTGAATATGTACATTAGTAAATAATTATTTATTGCACGATAAATAGGTCATTTTAAAACATACATGAATGTAAGCATTCTGAAATAGTGGTAGCATCAATATAGTAGCCACCACAAAGTTTACAAGTCAATAAACTATTAAGCTCAGCCAGACGCTGCCTTTTTCCTCCACTTTGGCCAGACATTCTATAAAGTAAAATAAAATGCTTGGATAAGTAATATGAAAGACATTAAGATAACATAAATGGTTTTATGCAAGAAATAAATCATAATTAAAATTTGAGTAATTTTATTTCTTTTATAAACATTAACAGGAAAAATGAGCATATATTTCAAGTTTTAGCACTGTAGGCTACTTCTTGCCTTTTTAAAGCAGAGTTATAGAAAAATTTGAAGTAACAACTTGTTATTGAAGGATCGTTTGAGAATCGTTTCGTTTTAATATGCAGATGAGTACATGACGTCGTTTACGAGCTTATTTCTAAGCAAATATAGCCTCAAAATTAAACGTACGCGAAAGTATATACAATAATAAAAAAAAAAGTCGAAAATGTTTAATATGAAAGTAGTAAGCTTTCGCGCATAAGCATGAATATTTATCTGTTTATTAGAAAATGCGTTTAGGCAAAGACGTAATGCCCAAGGTACTTACATGGATGATTTCAAGTGTTTTTTTTTTCGATATGAGCCGCGATGCACGGTTATTGAAATTTCATTCGATTTGCAGTAAGTGCAAAAATATTGTGTGATAGGAGTCTAGAAGAAGAAATAGACTGTCATAATCGGGCCGAGTAATAGCAGCCGAGATGACGAAGCCATGTCAGCTATTCGCTGTTGCTCTGTTTGTGTGATGCGTGTGTCCCGCAGCCTGTCGCTAAAACTTCAACTTGCTTACACTACTACTGCACTAGAAGCGCACAAAACCCGTTAGCCGCTGCAACTCTCGGCCGTATTTCGGGATCTTGAATTTCAAGCGCAGTTCACGAGTCGTGATCGAGCTCAGGAGCACTGCTATGCAACGTCGAAGCTCCGCGATCACCAATGCGCGATTCGAAGACGACGAGGTCGAGGCGAGACGACGACGTCGTAGGTGTATGTTACATTCGACAAAAATGTGTGCTTCAGATCGCGGGTGAGCTCGTTAAAGTCAATCGAGTGTAAGCTGATAATTCAAGTCGGAGCAGTAGTGGTCACTGGTCACTAGTTGTTGGAATTCATCGCGGTTTAAATAGGCCAACAACACACAGACGGACGTAGGCACGCACACAGGCGCGCAAAACGCAGACATAGGCTACTGGTGCAGTAGCAGCAGCAGCAGCAGCAGCAGCGAGCAACGCGCGGGCATCTCTCACAGTCCGCGAAGACTGAGGCCAGCAGAGTCGCCGAGAGAGCTGTTGTTCAATTTTCAGACTTCAGTCTGCGTTGAGTGGTGCACCAACATATAGATACGGAGAGTGCACGACATAGGTAAGCGCTGGCTCAGCAGCTCCGTGTTCGGTTGGTTAAGAGAGTCGCGAAGAGCCGAGCCGCGAGGGGATACTGAGACTGCGCGCTGGCCCGTTCCCCGCAGTATCCCACTTTCTTTTATGTTTGATGTTTCTGTCTGGCTGATTCTAGGTATTCTACATACACGCATATAAAAATATATGAACGTCACCGTATGTATATATGCGCGCTACTATGCTGCAGCACAGCCTCTGCACTACTACTGACCAGCCAACATGCAGGCGGAGAATACAAGTGCGTGCGTACACAATGATAGTGCAAAGTTGAGGAGGAAAAACAATCGATGCCGCGGACGCACTCGTCAACGATGAGACTCGACCGTTCGAGACTCTTACATTTTCTATATTTATATGCCGCGGATAATTAATTGACGCGTAGCGAAATGGAAAACATGCAGCTCACAGTTGGCAGCAGCGTAGCCGATGCACACGACCTACTGCATAACTGACTAATGAGCAGAGCAGCGAGCCTACTGCCTTCTAATATGTTGTGCATACACATATGTATATATGTATGCACGCAGATGTGTGTGCGTGTATGGAGGTGTGCGCTGGCATATGCACACTTGGCGTATGTGTACTTTAATATATATAGGCTTGTGTACCATGTATGTACACTTTTACGCGAATATACATGTATATATATCGGAGTCGCTCCGTCTCATTCGCGCTCGTACGAGACAAAATGGCGCTGCCTCGAAGCGAAACGAACTCCGCGCGGCGTACAGCTGCTCGGGCGCGCGACCGAGCCGTATCCTGACTTTTCAGCGACGCGAGCTTTGCGAGGATCGCTGCCACCTTTACGTGCATTAATGACGCAGCTCGTGCAGCACGTGCATGTATATAGCTCCTCGGAGCGGCCGAGCGAGGCCCGACTTGGTCGCAACTGCGATTCGGCCTGGCTCCGCTTTTCGTACGTAATAATGCGTTGCTGCCGCTGCTACTGCGCTTTACTCTACAGCATATATTTATGAGCAATGTGCGCGGCGCGGTGCAGTGCCGAAGCGCGAGAAAACGAGTCCACTCGTCTCTTTGGTGGGCTTGGGCGTGGCCTCTCCTAATGAGCAGAGCCAGCTCATTGGCCGCTGCTTAGATACAGCTTACCTATGGACGCCCGCTCCCAACCAAAGACATATCTCCACCTATATACGATACACATCGAGCTCTTTTTTCCGCGCGTTTGTGTAATAATCTCGATGACGATTTCTTCGCTGCGGCTTTCGAGGCTCTGATCCGAGCCAACGAAACGAGGCTTGTATGCCGTTTGCACGTTTATCAACGCGCGCTCCTTACTTTTCACCCCAGCGGTGCGACCCTTGGCGCATTTCCGCCTATTCGACGCGGAAAACAACGGCTAGATTCTCTCGCAGATTTTCGCTCCTTTGTTTCTCCTATACTTTATCCGCGCTTGATCGATAAAAATATACTGCTCCGTTGATTTTATCGCCAAACCATGTCAAATGCTCGATTTGACTTGCTATTGAGATAAGATTAAGCACACATATGTATAATGCACCATTAATTCGTAAGCTTTCAAAAAACCAAAATTATAAAATAGATAGCTTATATTCTGTGAACGCGCGGATTGTTTTTATATTAATTTTCCGACCAGTCGAGTTGAGGAGAATATCGAAAAATATTTTCAAATCCGATTCTCGACTGCAAGCTTCCATTGAGCTTTAATATGATACAAAAAAAAATTTTATTAAAAAGCTAGATTTTGATGATTCACGATTTGAATCGTATAAATGCGGACCTAAAGATTACCATTTTGAGTGCATTTTTTTCGCATACATCACATACGTACTTAATACCATTGTGCGATGCATGAATGCATCTCTATGTGAGTGCAGTTGAGATTAACCTTTAGTTGAAAATGGCAAGAATTGGAAGTTTTTAAGATCTTGTTTCTTGTCTATTATTTCACATTTATTTCAACTAAAAGCTTATAAAACTGTACTGTACTCATTCTGTTGTCTACATCGTGCGTGGTATTTTAGTGGCCTCTGTACGTGTTGCCCGGCTTACGATGTTTGCTGCAAGCAGAACTGTGAAAGAAAGAAAACTGAATCACTATAATTATATTTATTGTTAAAAGAATGAAATAATGTGTCCGAAGGTCAAATGAATAGTACATAGCATTACAAAAAGATTCGATATTAAAAAATTATCATCTGGTGTGCGAAGCGCACTGAGAAAGAGCTAGTTAAACGAGGTTTTGATCGTAATAAGCGATGCAATTTTAGTGTTAATAGATAGATACAAATGATTCGAGACCAGAGAATTTTATGGAGTAAAGCGCTCGTACACTGAGAAAAAAAATCATTGATTCAATTAAACGTTTCATTGAATCAATGAATTTTTTTTCTCAGTGTATTTTAATTTTCTTTCTATTATTATTGCAATCAATTGCAGTTGTAAAATTTAGTTTGTAATTGCACTGCTGCTGGTCATAGAAAAAGTCTGGCAGATGTTGAAGGTGCAAGTATCAAAGAATTATGCAATCAAGTATACATATAGAAGCTTAGAGAATATGAATTAAAAAAAAAACTTAAAATTTCGTTATTCCTGAAAATGACATCGATAAAGGATTGATTATTTATTTGACACTTATACGAAACAATTAGAAAGGTTCATCGGATAAGTTGAACAATTTCAAGCTTGAAAGTTCTTAAAGTATTTAACATTGAGTTTTTTGAATATATTACTTATTTATTTAAAATCGTTCAAAAGCTTGTTGGGATGCTGTTTGGCGTAAACCTTTGTAAACTTTTGAAAAAATATCAATATCATTGCTGCATACAATTTTTTGTGTAATTATTTTTACTACTACTGCGCATTTGTCACAAGTAATCAGATGCTGACGAAAAATGTACGTATCCTCGTTTCTATTGCATCATCTTCTTTTATTTTAATTGGCTCTAGGTGGAGTATCTAATAAGAGCAGAGTGGCGCAGTGGAAGCGTGCTGGGCCCATAACCCAGAGGTCCGTGGATCGAAACCACGCTCTGCTATACTTAATTTTTACTTTCCGAAAAGAAAATTAATAATAGCTTTTTCTACATCTTTTCGATTGACTCAATTATCTTCGAAAATGACTTATTCACAAATCCATGATAAATTCGACTCCTTCCTGATATTAATTTGTTTATTGGGCTTTGTTTCAGAAAAAATTTGAACAGTTCATTCGCAACATCCATGTGATAGTAGATAATATACACGGACAATCAAGCGCGATTCGCACGTGCAAATGTAGCAAAAGGACTAGGACACTTTAGACTATGCCTAGGCTTGCAAGTATTCACCGAGTTACATGGAAACTTGCTCATAAGCTTCTTTCAGTTCAATTAAACTTAAAAATGAAAAATCCACTTTACGTTCATAACCATAACGATTTTTTATCGCGTAAAATATCAAGTTTAACAAAAAAATGCCAAGAACAAAAAAGTTTCCAATTTAGACGAAGGATATGTGTGAGTTTTTTCATAAATTTATCAGAACATTTTTGAATTTTCAAAATGACGTTCTCGTCAAAAGTTGATCGCTCGTAATTGGCCCTGTGTTTATTACTGCGTCGCGAACAAACTGCTCAAATTGGTTCTAGAAGATAAGTTTACGATGTGTTCGCGACACACTTTGTCAAGAAGGCATCGAATTTATCAAGGATTTGTGAATAAGTCATTTTCGAAGATAATTGAGTCAATCGAAAAGATGTAGAAAAGGCTATTATTAATTTTCTTTTCGGAAAGTAAAAATTAAGTATAGCAGAGCGTGGTTTCGATCCACGGACCTCTGGGTTATGGGCCCAGCACGCTTCCACTGCGCCACTCTGCTCTTATTAGATACTCCACCTAGAGCCAATTAAAATAAAAAAAGATGATGAAATAGAAACGAGGAAACATACATTTTTCGTCAGCATCTGATTTACTCGTGACAAACTCGCAACAGTGAAACGATGAATAGAACTAACTTATGTAAGATACTTGAAAACTTTTTTTACGATTATTGTTTCTAAAATTTAAAAAATTACACCAAAAACTTGGAAAAAATTTTCACGGCTTCTTTGATCAATTTTAAGCACTTTTTGTCGTGAAGTTGTTCATTATCATACTGAAAATACTTAAAATTATTTTATAACATTCAAATATTTGGAGGTCATATAGATGATCGAAATTTTGAGTAAGCGTCGCGCACTAACTGCTCAAATCATTTCTAAACGATGAGGTAACATAGTTTATAAATTGGCATAACTAAATGCCAAGAAGGCGTCGATTGTATCGTGTTCTTGTCGATAAGATATATATTTGTGTATTTTCATTATTTACAATTTGGAACAATTCTGCGGTGGAAAGGACTAACGAGATAGCTTCATTTTTTTCGAAATCGAGTTTATAACATAAATTACCTATATGTTATGTCTACTTTAAGGTACAAGTGTCACAAAAGCTGAAAATAACACCTATCGTTAAATATAACACCGTGCCTAACGAAATAAGTCCATTTCGCTGCAAACGATTCCCGGCCAAACAGTAGTAGGCATAAATGCAGATGAACTCATAATACAGCGCTCTCAAGTCTCGATGATGTGAATAACACTAGCTAATGGTAAGTATATCATATAATTATTCAAGGTTCAAAGTAATAAAATAAATTTTCAAAAAATGTATAAATAATTTCAGTCATACCGTTGTACTTCTTTTTATTTTATATATGTGACATTTAACGTCAACTCTCTCAGCCGCACAGCGCGTCATTATTTAGTCGAATCGCTACATTTATATCTCCATATAAAAGTATCTAAATGCACCTGATTGGAAATCGCCTCAGCTTTCCTAAGGTCAGATTTCCCGAAATTTTCCGCTTTACCCGGGAAAATCGCTAGAAAAATTTTAGAGTCAATTATCTCAAAAACTTCATTTTTAAGATTTTCCCTAATAGTCTAGATAGAAAGATCAGGAAATTTTCCATCGATATAGACAATGTCCAGAGAGGCGATTTTTGATATTAGTGAGATATCGCGAGAGAAATAAGAAAAAACGTGGTTTTAGCGCGCCCTACGCCGACCGGGCATGCAAAAACCGCGAAATTTTTTCGGGAAATCTGAACTGACCTTCGGAAAGCTGAGGCGATTTTTCATCGAAATGTTGGGTTACTTTTTTCTTCTAGTTGCATTTAGGTACTTTTACAGCGAGTTACAAATTTAGTGATTCGACTAAATAATGCCGCGTCGCGCTATGCGGCACTGGGAAAGTTGCCGTGAAATGACACATACCTATAGGGCTTCCGGAATTTTTATAAAGTTATACATGAGCGATATTTTACAAAGTAGAATTGTAGGATGTAGTTTTTATCATGAAATGCAGGCAAAACATCGATTTCGAAAACCAATTCCCGCAGAAGTGGACTTATCTGCTAAGCGGGGAAAGGGCTAACGAGATAAGTCCATATTTTCTGCAATGCAACCCCACTTTCAATTTAATAGATATACGGGTCAAAAGATACCTCATAGTAGGTAAAAATACTATAGGTACAGATCTTTAGTCGTCCGTGTCTAGCTAGGCACTTGTGCGCAACTTAAAACGTGTTTTTCTCGAAAACACGAAAAATGGAGTTATCTGGTTAGCCCTTTCAACCACAGAATTACTATTTGCTCCACGCACAAGACGGTATCAAGGCGTATTTGACAAATGTTTCAAAGAGTAAAAAATACGTATAGCAGAGCGTGGTTTCGATCCACGGACCTCTGGGTTATGGGCCCAGCACGCTTCCACTGCGCCACTCTGCTTTCCTGACCATGACTCCACACAAATCAATTTAAAAAAAAATGATGCGATGGAAACGAGGGAAAGTTGAATATATATTTTTGATTTTTGATAGGATTATTATTTTGTTTAATTTCAAGCACTTTTTGTTTTATAACTTCGGACTGAAAAAGTTGATAGGTATCAAATATGCATTTTTATACATATCAATATTATTTCGACTCGTTGACCTTATTCTGATTATCTAAAATATTTTTTTTGTAATATTAGTCTTCAACTTTTGTAAAGTTTATAATTATTTTAAATACATAGAGTCTGTTGCTACGCTAGACAATCATATTGAGCTCTTTAACTCTATGGGATCATGTTTCAATGCCGAGGTATTCGATTTTTTTGGTCCTAAATGTTTAAATTTGAGTAACGACTTCTTAATCGACAAATTCGCAAGTTCAGTTAGTTATTGAAGTCAACTTTTTTTAGGCACGTTGGATATATATATGAGGAGCGAAGCCGCGAAAACGAGCGTATGTCCGTCGTCCGTACGAGCGAGCAAGCAAGACAGTCATAGCTTTTGTGCCTCAGTACTGCGCCGAATTGACTGAAAATATCGTTTCTTGGATTCTCTAAAACATTAGCTTACATGGCGAGTTCTCTACTATTTTTCTCTGAAGTTTTCGAAAAATAATGGCGTCACTAAATTTTTCGTCAAATTTTGCATCAATAATAGTTGCCAACCCGAAAAGTATCAGTGTAAAATTATTTACAATATCTATTTTAGAAACAAAAATCATGTCACAGTGCAACGAGACCTGTTTCATAGTCGACACGCTATAGTTCAACTCGATTTTGTAAATAATGATACTTTTTGAATAGACAATCATGAATAACAATGTAAACATAGACAAAGAATAAATTTATGACATTATTTTTTCAAAATTCTGCTTAATTGTCAAGATATGTTCGATGAAAAATACACATAATTATTTCGGTAAATATGTAACACGTCAAAGCTAGAAATAACTACACTATTAGAATGAAATTTCTCACAATAATAAAAAGTAGTATACAAGGGTGCATCGGCCAGTGAAACATCCGTAACGGATTTGTTTTGCATTTTCTTGAACAATTTCAAACAGACAATTATTAAATTGATAGTGCATTTTAAGTAAAATTTACGGTAATCGATTGGCATAGTTTTTTTTTGGTATCTTGCATATTTTTTAGGAAACAAACCAAATACATGTTCGTAGACCTCTCCTCGTATAGTTTTTCTTTCTTTCAGACCTCAATGTAATATGCGAGAAATTAGAAAAATAACGACTCCAGTCAATTTATCGTAAAATTTTACATCAAAATGCATTTTAATCAATCAATGTGTCAATGCGTAAAGTCGTTAACAATAATAAAGAGACGTAAGTACATATGGCCTGGGTGCAGTACACCGATTTTGTCTTCGTTTTGCATTACATTAAAAAATTTTACACCGAAAATTTTGAAATCGATAGTACATTTAACATAAAATTGTACGGGAAATCGATTGGTGTAGTTATTTTTTTAATACCATGCATATTAACCAAGATACGAGGGAAAACGTTTTTTTGTTTATGTACGAGTTTACGACTTCTCAAATCAAAAAATGTTTCTTCTGCCACACCGCGGCGCCAGTAGTTATGCATATATATAGCAAATTTCAAAGTAACGCGAGAGGTTGTAGGATGGATATAGATATAAACAACTAAACAAGGTCTCCTTAACAAACGAAAAAAACAAGTGAGGTATACCTGTACATGCGCGACTAAACGTATATTGTAGCTGCAACCGTTATGTATCTTTGCTTCTCTTTCGCTGTGCATGTTCAAGCGGGTTGCTCGCGCGCAGCCATATCTAATCTATAAAATTCAGTATACATGCACGTTGCGACGCCGCAGCATAAGCAACGAAAAAAGATCGCAGCGAGTGGTTCTTGTCAAAAATTGTGTATTGTGTTGTGTGTTGAAACTGTGCGTTACAGCGGCCCAAGGCAACTAAGATCTGTTGGAAAACATTAGAGAATACGTATAAAAACGTTAAACGTGAGATGGAAGAAAATAATCGTAAATTTCTTTGTGCACTCTATCCTATAATCAGAGATTATGAAGAAGGCCAACTCCCAAATCTCCGTGATATTTTTCGTCCTGAAGCTATCGATTGGCTTCTCACAGAGTTTATAAAATATGATATTTACGACGAGGGTCAAACGATTGACCCAGAAGTACTCATCGACTTTCTAATCAACACCGGCTACAAGGACGAGCTCATAGTTGATGAAGATGGCAAGCCACTAGTTCGTCGCACTACGGCAGTGCATCTTGCGGATAGACGATGGAACGAAGACAAGTTCGTTTTGATTCCTAAACTTTTTAAAATATACGACAGGTTTGACGTAAACTACACCAATGATGAAGGCAAGACACATTTTCTTCTGGCCTGTGAGTATGGCTGCGACGACGCCGTTGAAAAATTTCTGGAGCTCGGCCAGGATCCTAATTACACCTCTCAAAAGTCTGAATCGTGTTCAGCTGATCCGCCGCTACACTTCGCTCTGTGTGGCAGACACAAAAAAGTGGTCGAATTGCTGCTGAGAAACGGCGCCAATCCGAATGTAGCCAATGCAGAGGGGCTTACATCTTTACACATCATTTGCAAGGATTTCCACGATGACCACGACTTGTTACAGATGGTATTCGAGCTTAGCCGCGATGAATATCTGCCGGTGGAAGTGGATGCCCAAGACAAGTCTGGTCAGACACCACTTCAATTGGCTGTAACGAGTTTCTGTCCACGTATGATTGACGCACTCTTAGATCGTGGTGCCGATCTATCGAACTTCGTTTTTCCCACAGAGGCTCATTTTGACAAAGGATATGAAGATCGGTATTTTAAAAGTAAAAATAGTCTTAAATTGCTTCTAGGGTCTGGCGCTCTGGGCGTCGTCGAACGTCTTGAGAATAGAGGATACGAACTGAAGCCAAACGACGCCCTGACGCTCATGGCATTTTTCGCCAAGCACAAATTGTTCGAGACATCGACTCGTCTTCAACGTTTGCTTAACAGCAGTGAAGAGTTCAGAAAATATTTGATGATCAATTCGAGTCTGTCGCTCTACGATCTAATTCGATTACGACCCGAAAAAGCGTCGAAGATACTCACATATAAGGACTGCTTAGAGTTCGCGAATTCGAACAGTGTCTTCGGAGATCATCGAGAGTTTTGTGCTGAGCATTTGTGCGAGAACCTATCAAGAGGATTTTTCCGACGATGGGCACTGGCATATTTCTTGGAGCTGACACGCTACCGGCTGCCGATTCTTTGCTGCGATATGATCATCAAACATCTAATAAACGAGGATTTATGGCATATTTGTCAGGCAGCTACAGGCCAAAGCTCGTGAAGGCAATAAGCATTTACAACGAACATTACTTTTTATTATTATTATTTGTTCAGCATAAACGTTTAAAAAAAACTTACTTTTAGTATTTGATGAGCTATGTTATTCTCAAGTTGTATTTTTTTAATAATAATAATAATATCCTTCAAAATAATTGTCTATCAATATTATTGATAAATTGATACATGTAAAAATTTGATCTATGCAGATTGTGGCAAAAATATATGAGCTTATAATTATAAATATTATATTCACATAATGTTTGAAAATAAAAATAATTTACTTTTTTAAGTGAAGTGTAAAATGAGTTTTTGACGTCTAATTGAATTATAGAATTATGCGTTTTTTGTTTAATTTGCATCTTTACACGTTGTCAGAAATTTTATATTTTCGACAAATTCTGGTGAGCCATCAAAAGCAACATATAAACACCAAAAAATCATCATAAATCAATTTCTCGATTCAAACTTTCAAACGCGCAATCGAGCATTTCTTCACAAAGGAACAAATCACTGTTCGTAAGGTCTGGATTATGCATAGTACGCGATAAAGCCGTAAGAGGCTGGCGCTACTTGTTGCGCGGCGATCGTGTCGGGTGCTCGAGCACCAGAGCTGTAGAGCTGTGAAGCTGTAGGGCATCTATTATTGCATGAGTATGTGTGTGTGTCTGTGCGAGATCTGTTCTGCGTGGCTAACGGAGTCAGTCGATGATCGCAGCCGCTCGCACTAAGATGTGAACTCGCACGTTCGACTCGCATTAGAGTTGGACGATAAGGCTTGCTAACAGCTATCAAAGCATTATAAGTATCGAAATGAGTGTCCACTCCAGTGACCTTGAGGCTTGCGCGTCCCATTGTGCGCGAACGTGACGTTTTAATCATTATTAGTAACGCGTTCGGCAGACAAGCAACGGGCGGAGTCGAGCAGACAGTAGTTCCGAGGGTCACATCGCACGAGCATTCGGCGAACGGCGGATGCCGCTCAGCAGCTTATATATACATCGTGATATTACTGTTACAGTAGTGCGCCGAGTTACGCGCGACGCGTAATGTTTTTCAGCCAGCGACCCTCTATCCGTATCGTGTGCAGCTCCTCAAATTAATAACGGTCCGAGCGCTTGTGCAGGCTGCTCGTTAACGCGACTTGTTTCTAAGCTAGTCGCTTCTCGATCGTCATCGCTGCTTCTGCTCAAGCCGTTCGTGCAATGACAGATCGTATGAGCATTGTTTGACTTCAAAGAATGCCTCGTTCATCTTTATGCCAGTGAATAATCGTAGCTTGTAGAGCTTTATTCAAGACAAATTACCTGGAACATGGTATATTTCAGTCAACTGCTCCTGTATAATATTTCAAGCTCCGAATTGACTATTTATTTTTGCGTGAACAACATGAGATAACGATAACGTTTCAGTGATTCGCGTTGTTTTGACGTGAAGGCGTCGAGAAATGCTCATCATGAGTGCCATAATAAATGTTCTATTTTCACATTGCCGTAGTAATATTTATTTGATTGTTGGCGTTTGTCTTGGTTTGAGTATAAGTCTACTATTTGCTCCGATTGAATTAAACGATTGCCAAGATTTGGATGAGCCCTTACCATATTCTTTGAACAGTAATGATCCTGTGGATGAGTATGAGCCAAGACTTAACATGGATGCAAAACCTCAGAAAGCCAAAAAAATCCCAAAAGTTTTTATAAGACCCAGGTATTATTCTACTGAACTGGGTATCAGAGAAAAATTATTTGTTGGAATTTTGACAAGTCCAGAATTTCTCCATAGCAGAGCAGTTGCGTTAAATAAAACAATCACACACTTGGTGGACAAAATAAGATATTTTGTATCAATACCTGAAGCTACTAAACCTAATGTATCTTTGCCAGGAATTGTTGGTTTTACTGATACTAAAAGTATTCTACAGCCTTTTCATACATTGAAGTATATAACAGATAATTATTTAGAAGATTATGATTATTACTTTTTTATAAAAGATATAGCCTACGTCAATGCTAGATCCCTCGTTGAATTTGTTAATAAAATAAGTGTTAGTCAAGATATATATATGGGAGTCCCCACTAAAAATGGAGCACACTGTTCTTTAGGTAATATATTTATCTCTTTAATTAAAATTAATATGCTAATTAGTAATTTGTTATTATTTTATTTAGATTCTGGTATACTTTTGAGCAATTCAATCATCAAAAATGTTAAAAATAATTTGGATTGGTGTGTTAAAACTACATATTCTTCACTCGATGATGTTAATTTTGGTCGCTGTATTACTCATTCCACTGGATTACATTGTTCAAATGAAATTCAAGAACAAGTTTACCATTCCATAAAATTAAATACTACAATAAATTACAATGAAAATCTTTCAGAAATTTCTGAAAACAAGGATTTTCTGAAATCAATTACAATATACCCGTTATATGATCATCTTGCTATATATAATTTGAATATCAACAATGCAAAGGTAATTTATTTTTTAATGTAAAATTTAACTCAAAGCTATAACAAATAATCAAGAATATTTCATAAAGTTTAATTTCATTTTTATGTTGTAGATGGAATTGAAAAAAGTTCAAGAAGAAATTGATCTGATCAGAGAAAACATCATTAAAACTTTTGAATTCACTCCAAAAAACAAATTTGATCTTACTTGGCCAATAGGTAATCAACCGAGAAATAAGGCTTTTAATAGATTTGATATCTTGCGATGGACATATTTTAATCAGACTCATGTCTTCTTGAATGATGATTTTGGAACTGTCAAAGAATTTGATGAAAATCAAAAAGAAGATATAAATTCTATAATTCATGAAACTGTAGAAAAAGTTAGGAATATAAATAATGGTCTAAAATTTAGAAAAGTAGTTAATGCATACTGGAAGTTTGATTCATCTAGAGGTATTGATTATTTATTTGATTTTGAATTTATTACAATTTTGGGAAAAATAATCAATAAAAGAATAGAAGTTTGTAAACCATTGGGTAAAGTTGAAATTTTGCCGGTGCCTTATGTAACAGAAAATTCAAGAATAAATATGATAATTATTATTGACGCTAACAAAATAATTCAAGCTTTAGAGTTTCTGAGTCGATATGAAGACAATTGTATGAACAGGAAAGACAAAATATCTCTAACTATTGTGAGTGTATTTTTTTGTGTTATTCAACTACTTATAGTTATACATGTAAATATTTTATATTCATAAGACCTAAACGGTTTTTTTTTTAAAGATATTATTATATGATCCTGGAAATATATCAAAAGGTGACAACGATTTATATCACAAGATTAAAAAACGAGCTGTATACTTGACTGAAAAGTATAGAAAAGATCAACTAAAGGTTACATGGTTTTCAATAAGATTACCTATTGCTTTTAAGTTTATAGAAGAAGAACCACTATTGAAAGTAGCTATTGCAGATTTATACGTAAGAAAGCTCTCTCCAGAAAATCTTATATTATTTGCAGATATTCAAATGGAGCTGAAACCTGAATATTTCAATAGGGTAGGTTGATCATGATTTTATTGAGAAAAGAAATTATGATGAAGCTATTTTTTTAAAACTAATATTTGAATGTTTATTGTAAAATGTATCTAACAGGTACGCATGAATACCATTAGCCAGTGGCAAGTTTATAGTCCAATTCCGTTTACACAGTATCATCCTCTTATAGTGACATATAAGGAGAAAATCAAAAATAATGATTTTGATATTCTTCATAACCATGGAAGATACGATGAGTACAATTTTGACTCTATTTCTTTTTATGTTCGAGATTACATGACAGGTAAAAATTTTTATTAAATTTTTGAATTTATTTTGGTTGATAAAAATGTTGTAATAATAGAAACATATTGTATTTCAGTAAGAAAAACTACAGATAATAAGGTACCTATAGTACAAACTGACAAGGATATTTCCAGTGTGCTGAAGTTGTCACAGTCTTCCAAAATTGGTTCTATATTTGAAATGTTTGTTGTCTATAGTAATTTAAATACTTTTCGAGCTGTTGAACCAGCCTTGAAACTCAAATACAAAGAAATCCATTGTACAGGCACAAAAAGTAATGTAACTCTCGAATCGTGCTTAAGAAAAAAAAATAACAATCTAGGGAATCGTGGTCAGCTAACTAAGCTTATATTAGATTACAAAGAACACAATGATAATAAAATTTAGTAAATAACTTCTATATGTTAGTTTATGAAGATGTAAGAAATTAATGAACATATTGTAATTGTTTTAAATACTCAGAACTATATGAATGATTTATAATTAATTTTGAATAATTTCTTAAGAAATATGGATGTATACTTTGTTATTTGTATGTTGAATCTTATAAATATATAAATAATTTATTATAAAATTTAAGATGTATTTGAGTTTTATAATGTGTTTTGCGTGTTAATTAACAAAAGTACAATAATTTTACCACTTTTGAAGTCTCTTCTTCAAAATACATGTTACATTTTATCTTATGAGCTGAAAAAATGGAATCATTAAAAAATTATTTGTAAAACAATTACAAACTTTTTTATTATTTTATAAATTATCGTTTACAGTTTAATTTTCAAACGAGTGAGAACTAATATCGTATGGTAGTACGATTGACTGGCGTTGATTCTGCAACAGTTTGGCGCCACTGTACATGAGAACCTAATGTTTTAGGAGTGGCGTATTATTTAAAATAACAATTAGAAATTATAGAAGCATATGAAATAGATAATTTGGCAAGTACAGCATAAAAATTTATCAGTTCTTTTTATTTTAATCAATTATCACGGATGAACGTTCACGCAGTAAAAACTAAAAGCCTGCGATGAAACCTGCTGTACAAAATTATGTATATTACCTAAAAACCTCATAAAATAATTTTAACTTACACTTGAAAAAACTCAAAATGAGGGGTGGATTGTGATTATCGTCATACATCGCTTGCAATGATCATCCTGGAAAACAAGATCCACTTAGTATTAAAGTGATAATTCGGACAATATTAATATGTAACAAATATATTAAATTTATAGTCCAGGGTGACCACAACTTCCACTCGGTATCTAGTGGAACTACGATAGTGAGTGTGAATTAGTGGCTAAGCTAGAGCATGCAATAGAGCGAGAACAGTGTGGGTGTGTAAAAGGGAGGTGACCTGCGAGTGCCAGGATAAAATATGTATGTGAAACACAATAAAAATGATATTAATAAACTGAGTATTTTAGTGTGAATGCACTCACATGGTATTTTTTAAAGGATTTTCTTTTCCTTTTGGTCTTCTGCTTCTTGTTTGTAACACGATAGTCATTGTTAATGAATATTAACAGGAAAAATCACATACAACGAGTAGCAATATAATATATGCAAATTATATTATGTAAATATTTTAAATTAGATTCAACAAACAATATTAATATAGTTGAAGAGAAGGTTGAGTATAAACTCAAAAAAGTATATGTTAATTTATATGTGTTTAAGTATATTATTTGAGACGGAGCAGCATTATATTATGGGGAGGCATCGATAGAGACAAATATTATAATAAAATAAGTTTTACTAGCGGGAGATTTTTGTTTTGTATCACAAATTTTCTAGCAAATTTTAGTAAAAACGAAAATGAAGATGAAAAAATTTGCTAAAATTTTAACATTATTCAATATAATCGGTCGATGTCACACTTTTAGTATTCATTATGGTAATGTATCCTAGTTTAAATTAAAATTTTTACCATTATAATTTCTCCGCGTGCGTATGAGAATAATTATACACGCGTAATGTATAAAACGTCGAGGAACATCGCATAGAGCATAATATATTTCACCTGGTCGAGAGCAGAGCGCTCGAAGAATAAAGACAAAAGCAAGAAGAGAATGAGAGAGTCCGGTCCACCCACGAGAGAACTAATCGCTCGCGAGTTTCTCTCTTCATGGCTCTCGAGTAGATTCGAGAAAAAGAGAGGAGCGAAGGCCTCTGCCTCCCACACCCTACACACACATACACACACACACATATATGTAATATACACACGTACGAGCGCGCAAACCACCTACGCTGATTTCACTTGCAGCCTCGTGTTTGCGTATGCATCTCTGCCAAAATGTTTGATAATAGCCGATCTCCTAGGGGCACGTGATAATTTATACAGGCTTCCGCATACAAGCAAGGCGAGATAATTCGAAAAACGAGTTGTCACTGCTTTGTTAGAATCTGTAGCATCATCTAATGACAGTAGAATAAGTAAAAATCATTTTCTTCGTGTTATCGTAATATCGATTTATATTTTTTTAAGAAAGATAAAATCGACACAATGCAAGGTATTAATTTGTTGACTCTTAACATTGCATTTGCTGTTGCAACTGTTTCGCAATATTACACTGAATCGCTACTCTCGGCAAGTATTACACTTAGTTGGCATATCTCCGCAGGAGATCATCTCGTAAATACTCAACACACCACGCCAATGGCTCACTTTCTTTTCGGAAATGCAAATCATTCTCGCAAAGGCAAATGGAAAGTTACGCACACGCAGGCTTGATCATTGCGTCGTCCGCCGATTTCGCACTCGAGCTCTCGGAGGAACCGGAAGAGCTTTTTCGATTGAATTTCGCAAAGGCATCTTTTACATTGCACACGAATCAACGTGTTTGTAATTTGTCCACAGATGTTTTTGCGAAAATAATGATTTCGCTCACCTACCTTGTTTTGCCTCGATTTTACAGCGTTGGCGCGAATGAAAAATAAATCAGAAACGATTCGCATGAATCATCCCAAAACACACGTTTCGATATATAAATGAAGATCTTTTTTGTGTGGTTATTAAAAGAAGAAATGCGACTCGATCGACCACTTATGAGAAATCAATTATGCAGACGCCTATATTTTTGGACTAGTTATGATCATTAATTCGACAGATTTATTATCAATTTCATGTTTCTCTCTGAAGCAAATAATTTTTTGTATTCGACGCGATTCATATTTGAAATATCATTAACTTTGCAACCAAAGTATCCAATTTTAAAAATCTATACTGTTATTTTATTAAATAGCATAGGATTTTATTATTTCTTTAGAAGTTTTGATTTATTTTGAGCTACAAGTAATATTTACGTTAATGTGATCATTTAGAAAATTAAAACATTCCAATACTTCATTGAAGAACAATAGCCTGCAGATCGCTCAACATGAAGCTACACAATTTCATTTACATAGATATTATTTTTTACCGTAATATAATATAATTAAAAATTGTAATGAATTGATAACGTAGTCAATACGACCAACAGTTGAGAGATCGCTTAACATGTTTCGAAAAAGAAAGTGTTGTTATAAATTAGGCCAGTGGATCAATCGATAGCGTATTGAATTGTAATTTGAAGTCACGTTAACACATGAAACATCGGTTTTTTTGAGCTTTCTATAGTTCAATCTTCCCAAGTTAAATTATCATCATCGTTATCGAGCTTCAGATTTTTAACCGATATCGGTAACTTGCACCTTATTAATTAAGATGTATTTTTCGTTAATAATGTAAATATTGTTATGTAGTTTCATTTACTTTTTTACTCTGCCTTGCTAAAATTTATAGTAGTAAGTTGGAACGAGTATAGTTGCAACATGCAAGTATTTGTGCATTATAGTAGCCATGAGAAGGTCAAACTTTTGAACCACTTTTATTATGAATCATAGTATTCGCAGAATTGCATTGATCGAATGCTTTTAAAGGGCGTATGAATCAATCAAGCTTTATTGCTAACCATCGATTGAATTGGCCTTTTTATCGTCGGAGAAAAGTGTGATCGATGAGCATTCCACGACAAATGTGTTTCCCTTTGTTTCCGCTAAATCAAAAATAGACAGGTGAGCAGCAACAAACCGCGTATAGCTTATGGCTCGTTTTGCTCGTATTTTTCTCGAGACTCGGGCGTCTTTGATTTACAATTTACACGCCGCGGTGGAGCATACACACGTAGTCGTTCGACGCACGTGCGAATGTTTATGAATCGAAGCCAAAAGAATGTTTACGATCTCGAGATCGGCGTGTCCATATAAGCTCTCGTCCGCGGTGTTAACGAGCTCACCACCTCGTGATAATTTGCAGAGGATCGAGTCGCGCTCCATACGACGCTTGCATACGGCAGGTGACTTTTCAGTTATACCGACGAGATAACGAGTTCATTGGTGCTTTTACGAGAGATCGATTCATATTTCGCCTTCGTGCTCTACGGTTCCCGCGAGAGAGAGAAATCGAGAAAGACATGGAATCAGAAAAAGATACACCATTCAAAGATCGATATTTATGCATGCATCGGCGAAGACTCCCCTGACCATGTAGTTCATACGCTGCAGCCTCGTCTCGAGATTTTGTGAAAAACGACTCGTGATCCCTGCTTTGGCTTCATGCTGGGCTTGAGATCCTAATTTTGGAGCTCCAAGTAACCCTATAGAAGTTATTATGCAGAAGAACGAATTTTGATTTCTTATAATAAGCTAGTTAACGTATGTAGATTTTGACGCATACTTTATGGAAGCAATACAAGAAGGCCTCCTCCTGAGAGTTGGTAAGGCACAAGAATGTTTAAAAAAATCATTCATTTGAGTCAATGTTCACTCGGGCTCCCAAACAATAGCTGGCGCAATTCAGCTGCGCTTCTTACTGTTAGCTATTTTATGGTAACATTTGATGTAGATTATTCTTTTGCGCAGAACAAAAAAAATTAAAGATGCCTGGAGAAAATTTTGTTTTATTGATAATTCATGTCAGATGAAAAATTCACGTACCCTGATGCTTTCCAGTTATTTACTTTGTAGACAAGTAATCTACTGTGATTGTGAAATAATGCTCTGTAAATTTCGGGCAATTTCCTCCACTAAAATTTCACATCATGTCAATTGATTATTTAGTTAGATTTCATTTCACTTATATGTAGCAACAATAGCAAAATGAATTGAAACTTAAGGTCTAAATTAACCATTTTCGTAAAATATGCAGAGACGTTATATTTCTTGTGTAAAATGTCATGTTCTTTTAGAATCTGATGTCATTTATGAAATTTCGAGAAAAAAACTCGATTAATGCAAATGCCCGAATGGAAAGAGAATATACTTGTAAGTTTAACGCATATTCTTTTAGACAATAGTATGTATTTTTTATTGTAAAATGCTAATTATAATAAAATTAAACATGTCGATCCTATAAGACTCCCAAATACTTGAATGTTATAAAATGATTTTAATTTTAGAAACAATAATCGTAAAAAAAGTTTTCAAGTATCTTGCACAAAGTACATAGTAACTAAAACATACAATTTTCTTCGTTAGTTCTACTCATCGTTTCACTGCTGCGAGTTTGTCACGAGTAAATCAGATGCCGACGAAAAATGTATGTTTCCTCGTTTCTATTGCATCATCTTTTTTTATTTTAATTGGCTCTAGGTGGAGTATCTAATAAGAGCAGAGTGGCGCAGTGGAAGCGTGCTGGGCCCATAACCCAGAGGTCCGTGGATCGAAACCACGCTCTGCTATACGTAC